GCGGCGATGGCTTTAAAAACTCATAAATGCCGCCAGTAGGAATACATTTTCCGATAAATGCTCGGCGCAAAGGTGGACCACCTCGGTCAATGGGTTAAGTGCTCGAGGCACGTGCAACCGCACGCAGGATCTCCTGGGTTCCAACACTCCTCCCTCCCCCTCCCCCAAACATCCACCTCTCATCTCTCACCTTTTACATAGTCTAAGGGTCCGCATCGCCACGCGCTGATGCACATCGTCAATTTTTAACGAGCATGTTTTACGTGACCTCTGCCTCCCGTTCGCCGACGCATTTCCTTCTTATTCCCTACTCCTTGGTGACGTCACTGGAAGGACAACTTGGAACGGCCGAACGGCAAATGTCATATCAATAGATGTGCTCTGAGGTTTTATGCCGCCAACGCCCTTTAAACTCGTGAAAGCCAATTCAAGGCATATGTCTTACTCGAGTCGTGACCCCGTAGTGCAAAAGCCATCTGCTCATCCTTCGACGCCTTCTGTTTCACAACCGATAAAGCGATTATAATAACACTGAAAACAGCTTACTGAAAAAGGAATCTGTAAACCAAAAAATAGAAATAGCCTGCATATTTAATGTAAATAGCATTAGCAGAGATAAGATTTTAAAATTGTATGATACAATATAACAAGGGTTATATTAAATATTGTTAAATAAACAAACTTAGTTCCTAAACTCTTCTTTATTTTCTTGGTGTATTCACTTTTCTTGAGTTAAGCAGAAACTGTTGTAATAATTCCATTGTACTAATTCAGCGTACCATAAAATCGAAGGTAATACCAACGTTTTTTTATGAATTTACTCGGAAAAGAATCATATTAAGGAGAGTAGCTATACATATTTAGCAAATGTACTATAATTTTATTTGTTCCGGAGAAAATATAGGTGGCTTACAGTTTTGGGCAATACTCACCTTAAATATTCACTAGATACCAAAATGCAATTCAGCTTAAAAAGCTGTGTAAAAGCTTCTGCCAATGGAATTTACATTTTAAATAGCCATCAGTTTCCCATCCTCATGAAAAAATCTCTGGTGGGTGGAGCGACCTTTAATGGTTTACTTCCCCCCGGCAGCAATTAGCGAATCAGGAACTATATATTCAACAGGAAATAAAGCGGTGAAAAGTGAAGAGGGAGTTTTACAAACAAGAAAAATCTGAATTTAAATGATTGCAAGAATTCGACTTTATATTGTTTTAAGCCCGATGACAATGTTTTTGACATTTTACTCTTTGGCTTTTTCTTGCCGGGCGGCGTTTAATTAAAATGGAACCTTCACCTGCGATAGGTCGTCCAAAAGGGCCTCCAACTTTCCAACATCGCAATAAGCGTAAATAAAACGCATGATGAAATATTTTTATGCGTATACAATATACGATATTTGCGTATACTTTCGCCGGGGGAACTGCGATTGCTTTGTCCCTGTTCTTTGCCTTTGTGCGGCAAAACGAGTGTCGACGACATCGTTTGTCGGGCAAATTGAAATTTTATATAGTCAGCTTATGTGCCGTGCATAAAGCGTGATACAATAAATTCTCATTTTGTATAACCAAACAACGGGGAGGCCAGCAGCATTGAGATTAAGTTGGAGAAAATGTGGAGAGGAGCAGGTCGGTTGATTGAATTGACACGACAGCCCACCTGAACTCCCTCTCACCAGGATCCAATTCCGGCTGAAACTACTCCTCCCCCTTTGACTCACCTTTGATATTTCAGGCGGGATAAGGACCGGCAGCTCAAAATTGAATGAAAATATTAAAAAAATAAAATACAAAAAAAAGAGCATGGAAAGAAGCGAAGGGAAAGTGTAAAAATAATGTACATAAATGATTCCCGTTGACTGCGCAATTTCATTTATTTGTGAATAATTTCATTGGGCCCATAATTTCATAACGCGCTGACATTTAAGAGCGGATAAAGGCCTTTTGGTGCCTTGGTCAAATGATTTGGGGAATCCATTAGGCAAACACAAGGCGCGTTGGAGCCCAAAAGGATACTCGTATCCTTTAGGCCCCGGCCCTTTGTTTATTTTTCTGGTTCTTTTAATTTTCCTATGCCCGCCAGCTCTTCCTTCTTTTTTGGGGGAAAAGGGGGAATGCGGAATACCCGTCAGGCGGAAACTTCACCTAGTCCCCCCCGAATGTTTTCGAGAGGCTTTTTATGGCCGCTTCCTGGGGGAGAAACCCTTTCCACCTGTTGCTTCCTGCCACCTCAAGTTGTTCGCCCAAGACGCAAAGCAATTTTATGCGCGCTTTTTCGGGGTGCTCATTAATTTAAAACAAGTTGACTATGTCAAATGACTTTGCCACGAGCGAACGACAGCATCAGAGACTCGGAGCTCGCGACTCGAGAGTTTCCAGGTCGAAAAGGTCAACTGTGAGTTGCAAAGTTGTGGTTGCCGGATGCGATGCACCTTTCAGGCGACACGTGTAGCACTCAAAGTGCAGCAGCACCAGAAAAAAGTAAACTACATTTGTAAAAGTTTGCTTTTTTGTGTTGATTAAATATCACTAGAAAGGGTGACATTAGGAAGTTGTAAAAACCATTAGTATCCACTCATAAAAATTTAATGTTGGTTTACATTTTAAATAAATTTTTAAGTTGATAGATAATATATTAAAAAGAGATCAGTTTTATTGATACCCATTTCTTTGTAAGACATATTTAGTTAGTATATGAAAAGAAATGTTTTCTAATGTTATACAACTATTCACAGATGTACTAATATTTTTTGAGATTTTCTTGAGTGTAGCTCATTGTTTTTGCTCTGGAAGTAGAATCTAATGCAAGTAAAGCGACAGGTGTCAACGGCAGGTTCGGTTTCCTATGGAGCTGGCAGGTAAAGCTGGCATTCTCCACCACTCCCACGCACTTTAACAGCCACCGGGAGCAGATTCCTTGCTCTTTCAAGTGCTTTAAATATTTTTTGGCTCTGTGCGGGCATATTAAATATTTAGGGGGTCTCTAGGAATTAGTCAAGCAAATACCCGCAGAGCAAAGCAAATCCAAAACAAGCAAAAATGAAACGCCAGATGGCAGGATGGTGGGCGGGGCAGCGAAAGGAGGCGGCAGAGGCATGGGCATGGGCGGAATGGCAAATGAAGGGAAGCGGAAACGCTCGGGCAGAAGTCGAACGAGCAACAGGAAGAGCCGGGCAAACAAACAAACGCTCGTGCATACTCAAACACACGTGGACAACACAACACTTTTATGAAGCCAGCAACAAAAGCCAGAAATAATAACAAGCTGGCTCTAGCAGCTTGTCGTTGTCCTCCATCCTTCGTCGTACTCCTTCGTCCTGCGCCACGTCCCCTCAGTTATTCCCACATATTTTTGTATATTCTGTACTATTCTCCGCTTTGTCGTTTACAGAAACAAGGCGTGACACAGTTGTTGCACTTACAACACCCTCAAACACACACAGAATCAGACAACTCACATTGGGTCAGCAGGCAGAGATGACAACTTGGATCTTTTCTGCGAGAGTAAAGAGCCTAAGATACACAGTAACCCTTTTTTATTAATCATAAATACCACTGAAATCGAACGCGCTTCTTAAGGTGTCTGTTTAAGCTATTTTGAGTCCCAAGTTGCAAAGGATAACGAGCAAAAAGCCACGTTTTATATTTCATAGCATACTTTTCAGAGCCTTTGAAACCCCAGATGTTTTAAGCTGAAATTGCCAATTTTGTTTGAGTTAATATACTTATCAGTGTAATGGATTGTCATTATGAAAATCTAAATTATAGATACTTTGTCTTTTAAAGTTGCTTGTTAATCAGCAATTATTCCCTTTAGCAATTTATGGACTTAGTTCGCTGGCATCACTGTCAGCACATTGTCGTGGAGTCCTGGGGTCGTGTCTTATTTATAGAGCTCACCGTCTGTCCTCCCGGGCTTTGTGTCAAAGTCAGACTGTCAGTTGCATCAAGTCGAGTTCAGTTCCCTGAAGTTTCGTTTCTGGTCCGGAGTCCAACTGCAGCCAAGTTGGATGGACATATGTTTGCACTAGCTGGCTGTCCATTGTCCCATGTAGTTTACTTTGGACAAGCTCGGTGGCAAAGGGCATACATAATGGCTAGTTGACAGAAAGAACAATGAAACTACATTTTCGGTAAAAATTGCTCTGGGCACAAGCAAATTAAGTCTGGCTCTTCTGATTTTCACACCCACTGATCATGCGAATTGCAGAAAAGAAATCCCTGCTCGGTCGCCATTTATTCCAATTTGTGTGCTGGTGGGCAATTTGACTGCTATTAAAATGCGATTTTTTCGCCAGTAGTGGGTGCAGTGCGTTGAACCCAGGGAGCTCAAAGAAAAAGGAAATTGCTTATTGTTCGCCCGACGTTCTCCCTTTATATATTTTTATGTGGCATCAGTTTCAGGCAGACTCTTACCTTTCGCCTGTCAGTTATTCCCTGGGGAATCGCTGGGATTTGGCGAATTTGCAGCCAGTTCAATGCACAGCGCCGAAGTTGAAAGGTCGACTTATTTAGATTTATGGCTAGGTTAACTTTAACCCACTGCACTTTATTTTTGCGTTTGCTTAGCAACTTGAGAAAAGTAATTATACGCCATCAATGCGCGATAATCATTTGTCTTAATAATCTGAAATTAGTGAATCAGAGCACCAGACCACCAATTACAGAGCACAGCCTGAATAATTAATGGATATTATTTTTAGCTTTTTTCTATTGAAACGCTTAACTGTCTAATTAGTTTCAAGCGATATTTCTATTAAAAATATATATTGGCTTGTGCAGTTAAATGTTATCAGAATATAATTTAAAAGCTTGTTGTCAATGGTTATAAATATAAAATTAGTAAAAATATTTTTTTTATTATTAAATGTGTAAAAAAGCTCAAAAAAACATTTGCAACACTAAAGCTGTATAAATTTAGTTTTGTTGAAGTGCTCCACCTTATAACTTGTACAACCTGCAGGGCTGCGGCGCACGATCAAAATGCGGTCATACCTAAACAGCTGATTTTGTTCAAAATGTTTTTATTTTTTTGCAATTCGGTTTCCTTTAATCAAAATCACACAAAATCACATCAGTTATTATCGGTCGCCCAGTGAGCTTTGTTTGGTGTCTCAAAAACTAAAATACTCAAATGGATCGAGGAAGTTTTAGGGATAACAGACGGGAAGGACGCTGGCAGGATGAAGGATCCCCCGTTCCGGTTTTCTTCGACTTCGTCTCTAAGAACGTGTCCATGCCCTCTGACCTTGGTGAACTAATAGCATACGTGTTACTACTCGTTATCTCGTGGTACGCCCTTGTCTTCGCCTTCCGGTTTCTCCTTTCTCTGGTGAAGCCTGTGCTTGTTGTGGTGGCAGCGCTCTTTATCTTCCGATTTCTGCGAGCCTTTGAATTTGAGGACATTACCGATCTGTTCTTCCAAATTCTGTGTGTGATCGCCAATCTGGTGTCCTCCATTGTGGCGAAATTTTTGGAAGTCATCTTTAGCGTTTTTAAGTAATATACATGAGTTAATTTATCCACATTCCATTGTTATCCTTTTCAACACGTACATGTCATTACCAAAATTTTGTTAAATTTGTTTTCCTATTTGTATTTTGATAAAAAATAAATAATATTTAATTACCCAAAAGGTTAAATATTTATGAAATGATTAGCAAATAAAATTTCGTTTCAATTTATCAATAATTGGCTACTAAGTTGCTGATAGAAATTAAATTCAATTTTAAGTCAATATTTATTGGCTTTTGCAATGCTTGTTTTATTTTCATAATTTAAGCAATTATTTTTCCTCGCACCACTCGTTCTCCTTGCGGACCTGCTCTTCTTCTTGCGGCGAAAAATCGTTGTTGATGGCGAATGTGTCGCGAATGTCCTGCGGCGATTTGCCCTTGATCATGTTGGCCACAGTCTTGCAGGTGACATCCAGCAGGCCCTGGATGTTCAGGTAGTTGGCAGCCAGGATGAGTTCAAATAGGGTGCCCTGATCCACCTTGAGAAAGTCGGCATCCCAAGACGAGATATCATCAGTACGCTTCTCCTTGTTCTCGTCCTCCTCCGTCACCATGGGATCATCCTTGTGGTAGGTGGCCCAGTGGAGCACCTTCTTCAGGATCAGGGAGTTGACATTCGGCAAGGGCAGCACACTGTTGTCACTCTCATCGCCCAAATCCTCGAGAGCCGTGCGAATCGTTTCCGAGCACTTGGCGATCTCTTGGTCCGTGTCGAAAATCTCCTTATCCGAGGACTCCAGCCGAATGATGGGCATGCTGCGGAATCAGTTAGGCATATTAAAATCATAATTCAACCCACGCCCTTTGTGTTATTTTTACGTACTTTAGTTCTCAAGATTTGATATGAAACTGTTTGATTTATTCGCAGTCGCAGCCAAAAAAGTGTTTAGACAGAACACGGGTGCCACTTAGCTGTGGCCTACTGGCTAAAAATAATATTCCCTCGCCTTCAACTTGAACCGAACTGGTGCGCCGGTCGTCTGACAGCAGGGCGTTTGTAAAACAAACAATTTGACTGCTGTATTTCCCCAAAATCTATCAAAACTTTGATTGTGTGGAAGAAGACGTGGAAATTAAAAGGCCGCCAGTGTGTACACCTCCCTAGTTGAATTCAAAGATGGCGCCAAAGAAAGCACTCAGAAAAATATATATATGAAACAAACAAATAAAGCTTGAAAATAATCTATATTAAAACTCAAGGCAAATTTTTAAAAAAAAATTTTTGGTATTAAACTGCGAAACGAGATCTAACAAACGCATTATTATTGTTTACGAATTATTTTTATAGGAGACCTACACGTATATGTCAATAAAAATATGTACATTTTCTTCCAAATTTGTTCTATATTTATTTTTTGTTTGAGTTAACTTTAAACAAAACTAACCAACTGCAAGAAAATTTTTGGTGTGTGTCCCAACTAACGCAAGCTAGAATCTGGCAGTATTTTTTAGTCAATTTCCTGCAATGCGGGGTTAGCTACGGATTGGCAAAAAAAAAGAGAATAAAATAAATAATCGCCGTGCGAATAATCGCAATATTGCCGAATTGAAATCGTCTGTGAAATCGCAAATTAGCGGTATCCACAAGCGCCAGCTAAAGAATTCGTGGCAACGGCAGTGGGCCTAACTCACCGATTTTCCGGTTGAAAAAAACAGGCGGCGTCGTCGACACGCGGACCAAACCGAAGGATCCGACCCGGAGAAGTCTCCAGGATACACAGGACAAGCCCCCGCACACAAGATGGACGTCTACGACGTGAGCGATGATCTGGTGAAGAAGCTCAACGACTGGAAGGTGATTGGCATCGTCTCCGGCAAGTTCAACGAGCTGAAGGAGAACCACCGCAAGGTGGACTTCGTGGAGCGGGCCCTCATTGACTTCAAGTACATGGAGAAGATCTTCCTAAACGTACCGCTGCGAGAGGACAAGAGCAACAAGCGAAGCGTTGAGTTCCGTATGCTGGGCAACGAGCAGTTCTCGTTGAAGAACAGGAAATACTTCCAGGTGAGGTTGCCTTGAGTAGCCCTTTTCGAGCTTTCCAGTTACTAAAGCACTCCTTTGCAGGCCCTGGAGCTGTACAACAAAAGCATCTGCTATGCTGAGCCCAACTCGGAGCACCTGTCCATAGGCTATGCCAACCGGTCAGCGGTCCTGTTCGAGTGGAAGCGCTACCGGGAGTGCCTGGCCAACATCGAGCTGGCCAGGAAGGCCAACTACCCGGCGAGATTGAGCCACAAGCTGGACAAGCGGGAACGGGACTGCCAGCAGCTGTTGGACCAGCAGCCACCCGATGTGGTGCCCTACGAGTTCAAGCTCAGCTTTGATTCGCACGCCCAGGTGCCGTACATCGCCGACTGTCTGGAGCTGCGCGAATCCGCCGACGAAGGCCGCTTTGTGGTCAGCAATCGGGATCTAGCCGTCGGGGACCTAGTGGCCGTGGAGCAGCCCTTCTGCTCAACACTGCTGCCGCCCATGCGGTACATCCGGTGTGCCACATGCAAGCGGGAGAACTACCTGACCCTCATACCCTGCGACAGCTGCTGCTCCGTGATGTTCTGCTCCGAGGAGTGCAAGCAGCAGGCCACGTCCACCTACCACCGCTTCGAGTGCCCCATCATTGACTTTCTGCACCGCATGTTCAACAAGATCCACGGCATGGCCCTACGCACCACCCTGGCCGCCCTGGATCTGTATCCAAGCATCGAAGAGCTTATGGCCTTCTGCGAGCAGCCGCAGAACCAGCACAAGTGCGCCTTCGATCTAGACTACGGGCAGCTCACGCCGCAGGAGCACTACAGGGCTATTCACGGCCTGGTGACCAACCAAAACCTGCGCTCCGTCTCCGATCTCTTCCAGCGCTCTGTGGTTTGTGCCGTGCTTAAGCACTTCATCATCGAATACACACCGCTCAAAGAGCATTTGGGTGGCGAGGAAGGCATGAATTTCTTCACGGACCTACTTTTCCGACATCTGCAGACGTCGCCCTCGAATATGCACGGCATCGACCTCGTCGAGCAGGTCAACGAGACCAAGGACGACCAGACGCACTCGTCCGGGGCGTACGCCTTCCTCTCGCTGCTGAATCACTCGTGTGCGCCGAATACTTTAAGGATATACGAGGGCACTAAGGCGTACCTCTTCGTCCTGCGGCCTATTAAGGCGGGAAATGTGCTATACAACAACTACGGGTAAGTTTATCAGCCCTCCGTTCGCCAATGCCTATTAGAACATGGCCAAGGCAAAAAGTTAATTTAAATTATATTAGTCGTTATTTGGACCTATGTTTTGAACTTGGAATTCGTCTTTTTAATGTACTCATATCTTTACGAAATATAAATTCAAATAAATTCCCTTACTTACAGCGCCCACTTCGCCATCTTCAGCAAACAGCAGCGCTTGGACACGCTGTCCATGCAGTACCGATTCGACTGCAAGTGCGAGGGCTGCGAGCTGGACTACCCCACCTTCGGGCGGATGCTGCGCAAGGCGACTGTGCCGTCGGTGACCGACGACACGGACATGGCGCTGAGCGCCTACAACTACGACTTTGCGGTGAGCAACTACCGGAAGTACTGCGACTTCCTCATGCAATACGGCGCCGCCTATCCGTGCGAGCAGATCAGCTCGGCGGAGGAGTGCCTGAAAATGGCCCTGCATATCATGGTCGACGCAGTGCCACTGAAGGCGAAGATGTAATCGGATCCTGCCGCCGGCCAGCCAACACCGCAACCGCAACATGTCATTACCTAAATTTCGTTAAATTTATTTTCCTTTTTGTATTTTTATAAAAAAAAAAATATTAAATTACCCAAAAGGGTTAAATATTTATGAAATTATTAGCAAATAAAATTTCTTTTCAATTTATTATCAATAATTGGCTACTAAGTTGCTGATAGAAGTTAAATTCATTTTTAGGTCAATATTTATGGGCTTTTGCAATGCTTGTTTTATTTTCATAATTTTAGCAATTATTTTTCCTCGCACCACTCGTTCTCCTTGCGGACCTGCTCTTTTTCCTGCGGCGAAAAATCGTTGTTGATGGCGAATGTGTCGCGGATGTCCTGCGGCGATTTGCCCTTGATCATGTTGGCCACAGTATTGCAGGTGACATCCAGCAGGCCCTGGATGTTTAGGTAGTTGGCAGCCAGGATGAGTTCAAATAGGGTGCCCTGATCCACCTTGAGAAAATCGGCATCCCAAGACGAGATATCATCAGTACGCTTCTCCTTGTTCTCGTCCTCCTCCGTCACCATGGGATCATCCTTGTGGTAGGTGGCCCAGTGGAGAACCTTCTTCAGGATCAGGGAGTTGACATTCGGCAAGGGCAGCACACTATTGTCACTCTAATCGCCCAAATCCTCGAGGGCCGTGCGAATCGTTTCCGAGCACTTGGCGATCTCTTGGTCCGTGTCGAAAATCTCCTTATCCGAGGACTCCAGCCGAATGATGGGCATGCTGCGGAATCAATTAGGAATATTAAAATCATAATTCAACCCACGCCCTTTGTGTTATTTTTACGTACTTTAGTTCTCAAGATTTGATTTGAAGCTGTTTGATTTATTCGCAGTCGCAGCCAAAAAAATGTTTTGACAGAACACGGGTACCACTTAGCTCTGGCCTACTGGCTAAAAATAATATTCCCTCGCCTTCAACTTGAACCGAACTGGTGAGCCGGTCGTCTGACAGCAGAGCGTTTGTAAAACAAACAATTTGACTGCTGTATTTCCCCAAAATCTATCAAAACTTTGATTGTGTGGAAGAAGACGTGGAAATTAAAAGGCCGCCAGTGTGTACACCTCCCTAGTTTAATTCAAAGATGGCGCCAAAGAAAGCACTCAGAAAAATATATATATTAAACAAACAAATAAAGCTTGAAAATAATCTAGATTAAAATTCAAGGCAAATTTTTCAAAAATTGTATTTTGGTATTAAACTGCGAAACGAGATCTAACAGACGCATTATTATTGTTTACGAATTATTTTTTATAGGAGACCTACACGTATATGTCAATAAAAATATGTACATTTTCTTCAAAATTTGTTCTATATTTATTTTTTGTTTGAGTTAACTTTAAACAAAACTAACCAACTGCAAGAAAATTTTTGGTGTGTGTCCCAACTAACGCAAGCTAGAATCTGGCAGTATTTTTTAGTCAATTTCCTGCAATGCGGGGTTAGCTACGGATTGGCAAAAAAAAAGAGAATAAAATAAATAATCACCGTGCGAATAATCGCAATATTGCCGAATTGAAATCGTCTGTGAAATCGCAAATTAGCGGTATCCACAAGCGCCAGCTAAAGAATTCGTGGCAACGGCAGTGGGCCTAACTCACCGATTTTCCGGTTGAAAAAAACAGGCGGCGTCGTCGACACGCGGACCAAACCGAAGGATCCGACCCGGAGAAGTCTCCAGGATACACAGGACAAGCCCCCGCACACAAGATGGACGTCTACGACGTGAGCGATGATCTGGTGAAGAAGCTCAACGACTGGAAGCTGATTGGCATCATCTCCGGCAAGTTCAACGAGCTGAAGGAGAACCACCGCAAGGTGGACTTCGTGGAGCGGGCCCTCATTGACTTCAAGTACATGGAGAAGATCTTCCTAAACGTAACGCTGCGAGAGGACAAGAGCAACAAGCGAAGCGTTGAGTTCCGTATGCTGGGTAACGAGCAGTTCTCGTTGAAGAACAGGAAATACTTCCAGGTGAGGTTGCCTTGAGTAGCCCTTTTCAAGCTTTCCAGTTACTAAAGCACTCCTTTGCAGGCCCTGGAGCTGTACAACAAAAGCATCTGCTATGCTGAGCCCAACTCGGAGCACCTGTCCATAGGCTATGCCAACCGGTCAGCGGTCCTGTTCGAGTGGAAGCGCTACCGGGAGTGCCTGGCCAACATCGAGCTGGCCAGGAAGGCCAACTACCCGGCGAGATTGAGCCACAAGCTGGACAAGCGGGAACGGGACTGCCAGCAGCTGTTGGACCAGCAACCACCCGATGTGGTGCCCTACGAATTTAAGCTCAGCTTTGATTCGCACGCCCAGGTGCCGTACATCGCCGACTGTCTGGAGCTGCGCGAATCCGCCGACGAAGGCCGCTTTGTGGTCAGCAATCGGGATCTAGCCGTCGGGGACCTAGTGGCCGTGGAGCAGCCCTTCTGCTCAACACTGCTGCCGCCCATGCGGTACATCCGGTGTGCCACATGCAAGCGGGAGAACTACCTGACCCTCATACCCTGCGACAGCTGCTGTTCCGTGATGTTCTGCTCCGAGGAGTGCAAGCAGCAGGCCACGTCCACCTTCCACCGCTTCGAGTGCCCCATCATTGACTTTCTGCACCGCATGTTCAACAAGATCCACGGCATCGCCCTACGCACCACCCTGGCCGCCCTAGATTTGTATCCAAGCATCGAGGAGCTTATGGCCTTCTGCGAGCAGCCGCAGAACCAGCACAAGTGCGCCTTCGATCTAGACTACGGGCAGCTTACGCCGCAGGAGCACTACAGGGCTATTCACGGCCTGGTGACCAACCAAAACCTGCGCTCCGTCTCCGATCTCTTCCAGCGCTCTGTGGTTTGTGCCGTGCTTAAGCACTTCATCATCGAATACACACCGCTCAAAGAGCATTTGGGTGGCGAGGAAGGCATGAATTTCTTCACGGACCTACTTTTCCGACATCTGCAGACGTCGCCCTCGAATATGCACGGCATCGACCTCGTCGAGCAGGTCAACGAGACCAAGGACGACCAGACGCACTCGTCCGGGGCGTACGCCTTCCTCTCGCTGCTGAATCACTCGTGTGCGCCGAATACTTTAAGGATATACGAGGGCACCAAGGCGTACCTCTTCGTCCTGCGGCCTATTAAGGCGGGAAATGTGCTATACGACAACTACGGGTAAGTCAATGCCTATTAGAACATGGCCAAGGACAAAAGTTAATTGGAATAATATTGGTCGTTATTTGGACCTATGTTTTGAACTTGAAATGCGTAGTTTTGTAGGATTAAATGTACTCATACCTTTATGAAATATAAATTCAAATAAATTCCCTTATTTACAGCGCCCACTTCGCCATCTTCAGCAAACAGCAGCGCTTGGACACGCTGTCCATGCAGTACCGGTTCGACTGCAAGTGCGAGGGCTGCGAGCTGGACTACCCAACCTTCGGGCGGATGCCGCACAAGGCGACTGTGCCGTCGGTGACCGACGACACGGACATGAAGTCGCTGGGCGCCTACAACTACGACTTTGCGGTGAGCAACTACCGGAAGTACTGCGACTTCCTCATGCAATACGGCGCCGCCTATCCGTGCGAGCAGATCAGCTCGGCGGAGGAGTGCCTGAAAATGGCCCTGCATATCATGGTGGACGCAGTGCCACTCAAGGCGAAGATGTAATCGGATCCTGCCGTCGGCCAGCCAACACCGCAACCACCACCACCAACACGGACGAACTTTTCCTTTGCTGACTTCGATTCGAGGCAGCGTATTAATAGCGAGACACGAATAGAGGAGAGTAATTGATTAATATACATGTTGTTGCCATAAGTCTGTAGCGCAGGCAGCAGCGCGATGAGGAGCACGCCCTTAACTTTTATATTTGTAATTGTACATTTCGACCTTTGGTTCTATTTTACCCAGCACCACACCACCCACACCCCCACACACATTTCATAGTTGTTCACAACAAGTCGCAAGCTCAAAATTCTAACGTTGATTTAATTTTGATCACAACAATGTCTTCGATGAAAACAAAACAAAAACAAACAAGAACTATGCAACTTACTGCGTTTTTATAATTATTTTACAAAAACCAACTGAACAAGAAATACAATATTTTCTAAACGATTCGGCTTTGGCTCTAAGGCATTTTGCTGTACAAGTCCAAAAGGTTTTGGTTCAGCAAGGATCCTCCGCGGGACGTCGTCGATGATGGCGTTATGGGCTGAAGCTGGACGAACTCGCAGCCCGAGGAGCTGGGTGCAGGGTCATTGAAAAGCACATTTCCGAAAGTCTGCTCGAACTGCTGCTGGAACTGGCGGGCGTTGATGGGCTGCAGATCCTCGCCTTGCGGAGGATTGATGTTAAGCTGGGCGGCCAGTTGATCCATGCTGTTCGGCTCCCGTTGCAGTTGTTCCCGCTGCTCCGCGCTCTTCACATAGATATTATCGCCCGCCGACTGGACAAAGTCCGTGAAGTAGTCCTGATCCACCTCCTTAAAGAAACTGCCGTCCATAGCCTGGAAACCCAGGCGAATCAGCAGCGATATCTTGGTGTCGAAGCACTGCAGCCAGGATCGATTTGTCTGATAGATGGACAGCTGACCCTCCTCCCCGCAGGCGTTCCAAAAATCCAGTAGCGTGTTTTTCGAAAAGTCAATCAGCATGTGTCGCTTGGCATCGGGATACATTCGGTTGATCGCATCCAAGTGGCGAAAAGTAATCTCCAGCAAGTGATGTTGATGGCGAGACACAAACAACTGCCACTTGTACACCATGGTCATTAGGTTCCACAGCTTGGACATTGACTGCTCATCTAGCCGCATCAGGGAGCAGGTGGCGATGTCGTTCAGCATGAATTTGCAGTGGTCGGCGGTCAGGAGTTGAGCATTGTTGTGCTTCGATCCGTTCAGCAGGGAGTCTATAAACTTGGGCTCCAGTAGCACGGTGGTCACATCGTGGATGACTGTGTGAGATTATATTTAAAATTTTAGAACTTGCAAAACTTTTTAAAATGATGCTGAATGATAAGATTTATCATCGAAAAAATATTCCGAAAAGTTTAACTGAATGTTCTGAAGAACTTCCTTTCTTTTGTCCACTTTAACCTTTGCCAAAGGCGATTTTGCGAATTTCAAGGACGTCTTCTAGGTCTTACAATACTTTTATGGCTCGAATTTGAAAAACGATTATGGAATCTAGTACTGCTCACCTTGAATGGATTTATCCTCAGCAATCTGCTGAGCCTTTAGCCGCTGATCGATTACGTAGAGCATCTCGCATCCGAGATTAACCAGAATGAAGACATTCGCCCGGGGATTCGACAGCTGTTGCGGACTGAATTTGGCCATCTTTCGGCGGCGACTTGAGAGCACGGGCGGCTATTGCGAACTGAACTGGTAAACCGAAGACTTCGTGGAACACGCAAGGCTTAGAACCCAAACCGCCAACACAAACACACTGATGGCTTATTGGATTTTTGGCTTCCGTGTGGACTGCAGGCCCCCATTTACACTGAAACTAATTAAAGAATTTTCGAATTGATAAAGGACTCTTTTACCAAGTGAAGTTTCTCAGTTTTAAAGGCTTAAAAAAGTAATTGTTTATTAATCTTCTAGTCTCAGCATTTTCCTTAAGACTTAAATCGAATTTATTTAAAGAATTTTGTGAGAAGCTGTAATTGCCCTAAATATAAAAAATTGTTAAACAATTTAAATGCCTTTAGAATCAATTTTAGACATATTATTTTTGTCAGTGTTCTTCCTAGTTGATGGCTTTATGAGAGTCCCCGGGCAACGTCTTTCAGTGCAAACAATAACAAAAGCCAGTCCACGGCGACAGAGCAGACGACGTGTATAATTATGGCAGCCGTGGGGAAAGGACCTCCACCGTGGCGTCGGGCACTAAAATTTATTGATTTGTAAATTTCCATTTCAAACGCAGAACCAATTAGCCTGGAAATTATGGCAGCAGGTTGAAAAGTTAAATCGTTTACTTACATACATATGTGGGAGCCGGAGCTGCTGACGTTGGCATTATCCTGCCATTAAACCAAACATATGTGGACGTGGAAAGCTCCCACGACCTGCAGACTTGTCTGCTAATTTGACGGCCGAGTGAAGTGGCTAGTGGTTGGTGAGGTATGCCACCCGGTTCCATTGCAAATGGAAGGGCAGCACCTGCAGCGAAGGTCGCCCGGAAAAGGATGCCGGAAGTTGCGTGATTTCCCTTACCACAAAAGGCAGCCTCATTTCCATAAAGTTGGTGAGCTCGAAATAGCTCCCTTGCATTTGAAAAAAAGATCATAAGGTAAAGGAAAGTGTGCAGATTTAGAAAATTAAACACAATTTGTCAAGATACATTAACAATTTATAATATCCCTGGCGTTTCTTGAATCGTAGTAGCGAATACAAATTTGGTTTTCATATTTTTTCCATTATATTATAAGATATTTGTGTCGCTTAATAACTTTAACTCATAATTCAAAATTTTTAAAGTATATATTATACCCAAACTTCAATATTATTTAAAATTAGTTTACCGCCAAATTTCAAAAACAACAGCTATCGATAAGTTCATTTAGAATTCTTAAGTTTTCAAAGCCAGCAAGATTTTTCTACAAAAACGTAGTGGTCACTCTTAAACAACGCGCAATGTTTTGCTATAAATTTACCTGCGGGGATTTCCAAACCCTAACAACAATGACTGAAACCGGAATAACTTTCGATCCACCGGTGTACGAGCAGCGTTACTGCGGCACCATCCAGATCCTGGAGGATCCCCGCTGGGCGGATAAGATCAAGAAGGTGGTGGAGTTTGGGTGTGCTGAGATGCGCTTTTTCCAGCTTATGCGTCGCATTGAGACGATAGAGAATATTCGACTGGTAAGACTGTTTATTAAGTTTTCCAGAATGAAAAAGCAAAACACAAGTTCAAATTAATAGTTAAGGAAATATAATTCTAATTTATTTATTTCCACTGCTTGTTTATACACGCATAGCCTAGCTTAGATTGTATCATGTTTATGAAATAACCATTATCTAGTTATATTAAATACTTTTTGAGGAGAGTATGTACCTGGCTGCATGAAATGTGGGTGAAACGGGGCGTAAATCTGGTCTATAGTATAACCTATAATCTAACCAAACTAACATAAAATTTCAAAGTTATTAAATAGAATTTAAAAATCAAGGATTTGCTATCAAGGCCAACGGTGCACTGCTCCTGAACACCGTTCAAACACATAAACATCTCTTACAACTGGGGACTACATTGCGTAATGGATAATTCAACAACATCTTCCATGTGGAGCCAATCCAAAAAACTTACGAAAACCTATCAATTTAATATTTAAAAACCAAAAGTACACATCATGAAGTCGGTCTAACTAGCTCGATTCCATGCTTCGCCTGCCGTCAGGTCTGAAGTATGCATGTAAGTAGGTTCTGTCCTGTTCGTACCTTAATTACCACTAAAAATACTTGACAACGAATTTAGTTTCTTCTGTTCTGCTTCTCTGTTCAGTTGTTCCTTGTCCGTCGACTTCCTATTTATCGTCCCTAGTTTCCTAATTCCTAACTGTCATCTGGCAATCATTTGCGACAGTGCCTGGACGAGTGGACACCGCGCCCCTTGCCGTAGTTGTTCTCGTCGTCGTATTCGCCGTACAGATTCTGCACTTCCAGCAGGCTCGAGTTGTTCTCCGCGTCGTGCTCGCCGTGTTTGGGTTCAGTCTTATAAAGAGCTCTGCGCGTGCGGCTCGACTTCATTTTCCGCTCCCCTTCGCCGGTGGCCGAGGCCATGGTGGAGTTCTCCTTGCGTGTGGCGCAGCCACGTTTGTTACTGGCCACCGCCGACAGCGGCGTGGAGCGGCCTTTGCTCACAGCGCCCGTGGCGAATCTGATGACGGCCGAGTTCTTGCTCGGACGCCCCACTTTTGCCTTCGGCGGCGGTTGGCTTTGCTGCACCTGGTTTTGCTTGCTGGTGGTTCGCTTGCGGGTAGCGCCCCTAGGGCGACCACGGGCAACTTTCTGGGAATGCTCGGAGCTGTCGCTCTCCTCTGTTCCACCTTCCGATTCATCCTAAATAGAAAAGATAAGTTAACTGCTTGATATGACCTGTTGATTAAATAAATTATAGCTAACCTCGCCTTCGTCGCTTTCTGCATCCTCCTCATCATCTTCCACCTCCTCCCTCTCATTATCCTGCGCTTCCTGGTTTTCATCCTCATCATCTTCGTCCACCTCGTCATTATGCTCCTGGACAACCAAACCCTTTTCGCGACGACTCTGCTCCATGGCCAGTATCGCGTAGGTGGGCTTGCCCTCGTAGCGCCTTGGAAGACGGGATTCCAGCGGGCAGATGGACTCCTCTCGCTCAAACTCCTTCACCGCCCGTTCGCGGGCTATTTGATCGGGATCCTGGGAGAGGACCTCCGCCCACGAAAACTTCTTTTTCGTCGTTTTCTTATTCGACTTGGAACGCAGATTCTTGGGCGACACGCGATTCGTGAGCGAGTGCTCCTGGAACGGGGTGCTTAACGTTGAGTTGCGCATCACATTGGTGGATATCTTGTTGTTCAGCTCGAAGATGTCGCACTTGCTGCCATCCACCACGTCCTTGGCGGAGACACAGGTGCGCAGGATCTCTTCGCTGCTTAGACGCATTTGACTGGCATCGTGACCCAGGCGCTGGTACTCGCGCTTGAAGATTTTTCGGTAGCGCTCATAGTTGGGTCGCTCCTGGTAAGCCAACTGACCGATCTGCTGCAGGAACTCGCCCAGATACTTAGGAACTTGCTTACCGTAGAACTGACGCAGCATCTCGGGCACGTCCGTCATGAAGAGCTCCTTGGCGCGGTGCACTTTCTCCTGCTGCTGCTGTTGAGCCACGTCCTTCCAGGGCAAGTAGCCCTCGGACCAGTACAGCAGGTTGTAGCCCAGGCACTCCAGATCACTGCGCCGCGAATGGGCGCCCAGGTGGGCGTCGCGTGACGTGAACTCCAGCGTGCCGTCATGCGCTCTTCGCTGATCCATGATGAACGGGCGGTGGACACCGCGATCCTGGTACTTGGACGCCAGGCCAAAGTCGATGAGGAAAACATGCTCCTCCTCTACGGGCAGGAACTTGTACTCAGTGGGGTTGCTGTCCACGTGCCGGTTGCCCCTGCTACGCACTTTGTGGTCACCGTTGGGCTCCTTCTTTAGTTTCTCTTGGTGCCGGGTAGCACGTGTTGAAACCACATTTTTCTTGGAACTGGCTGCCTGAGCCCCCCTGCCTCTTTTTGTGGCCGTGCGGCGTGCGGGGGGCGGGATGAACTCATCCGACTCGTTATCAGACGACTCCGGCGACTCATCGCTGTTTTCCTCTGCGGGATTGGGATCGCCCTGCTCGTTAAACTCCTCGCGGTAACTGATACGCTTCGTAGGGCGTAGGTAATGCGACTTGACCATCTCCTCATACATGGAGTTGCGCTTCTCGCGACGACACGAACGCACAGGATTGGAGCCGCTGAACTGAACAGCATTGCGTGCCGTTCGCTTCTTGTTCACTGGCGTCTGGTAGATGTCGAGGCTGTTGCTGTTGTTGCTGTTCGATGTGGCACCGTCATCAAAGTCCTCATCATCTTCGTCGTCATCCTGCTTGATATCCGGAATCCGCTTTAGGGCAAACTTCTCGTTCTTTAGGAAGTAGTCATCATCGTTGGTCTCCTGCTCCGAGCTATTGCCACTGTCCGTGGTCTGCTGCTTCTCCTCGTAGTGCTCGTCGTAGCCATTGCCCTTGGGCACCACCTGCTTCCTGAGGTACTTGCACTTGGACACCATCAGGTTCTGGGCCTTGATGTCGTTATGGCAATATCCCTTATCGTGCAGATTCTCTAGAACGTTGATGATGTGTACAGCAAGTACTAGGAGTGACTTTTGGTGCACCTTCGAATTCTTGATCAGCGAGTGCAGGTCGCGATCGAAGCGGGGCAGCACCAGAAAGCGATAGCGGGCATCTCCAAAGTAATGTGTTCCCGAGGCAATGAAGCTGGGAATCCCAGAGGGCGGTCCCTTGCAGAGTGCATGCGTCTGTTGGACTGGCAGGTTGGCAGCGTGATCTCCGACATCTGTTAAGTCTGCAATAAGAAAATGAGTGCTGATGCCATCAAGAGAAGTTTTTAACAGGTTTACCCTTGCTCTGGGATGTGTTGATCAGACAGTGAATCTCTACAAAAAGAGGTCCATTTGAGTGCGGCTCGATCTTGACCACATATTTGGCTGTTTCCGAGCTGGCCGGGCATACAGTGTCATCGGAGGCTAGGAAGATTTCGCCAAAGTTGCCCTTGCCTAAGGAAGAAAGAGGGGTTTATTTTTCTAAACGACCGTATTATTCGTTTACTCACCTATGGGTCGCCCCAAGCGCCAGGCCTTTGAGAGCACGTCCCTTAGGATGGTTCCGTTGACCACCGAGGGTCGGAGCGTGTAAACCGGACGCGGTGATTCCATCACACTAGAGTTGTTGTGATCGCTGGCGATGCTGACTCCGGTTAGGAGCAAACTACGAGCCTGCGGGGTGTGCAGCAGTGTGGGTGGGTCCACCTCCATGTCGCGAGCGGATCCCGCCGAAGAGCAGGACTCCTCGTCATCATTCTCGTGGAACTCGAAGCCATTGGCGCTGCTGGAGCCGCCGCTCAAGCGTTGGCACTTCTCGGCGGCCTTGACCGCCGAACGCTTTCGCTTGCGAGCATTGCGCTCCGTGGTTGGGCGCTCCAGCTGGAGACGCTTGCCCATGTTGGCAGCTGGCGGGGATACGGGTGTGCTGCTGAAGGTAACTCCCCTCGGATTCTGTGACTCAGTCTCACGTTTATAAGGCGATTAAATGTGTATGCAAAAGCTGGCTTGTTTTTGTGCGATTCCGCTTTTAACGTCTATTCTCTCCTAACTGGTGGTGAAAGAAAAAACACAAAGGCTATAAATTATGTATTTTCGAGGTATGAGTTAAGACCCAAAAAATTATTGTTTTTATTCAAATTCGAGTGATTAAGTATTTTTCTATTGGGATATTTGTTTTTTTTTCCCACAAGTTAATTATTGTCATTTTGTTTTGTTTGCCAGTGTTAAAAAACGTGAGAGCTGGGGTATTTTAAGGTTGATGATCTCAGGCCCAGATTGGCGTTGTTTACGTACGGATACCAGTCTTTTGAGTTTTTGATTGACCTATTTTGCGTTTATTCTTTTGAAATTTAATTAAAACCTAATTTTTATTTAGTTATATTTTAACGTTTTTCTTAACAGTGTTGCAAAGCGACCTAGATCAATGCGCGTCCGGGGGCATGAATACAAACACAAACAAACGCACCACCATGTCTGGAAACATAAAAACACGGACATACAAACATACTGTGAACCGAAAAAATCGATTTTCTGGCCGGCATTGTTAAACAAAGAACTTAATGTTGGCATATTTGTTCAGTTGCACGGGGTTTTCCCTTTGCTTTAAAACGTTTTTCACGTGCTAATCAGCCGTCAACGCGCACCAAAGCCAAATTGATTTTTCAGTATGTATTTTTCTCACGTATTGCTCGTTCTCTTCTTCTTGTTTTTCGTCGTTTTCTTTTGGTCCGTTCCCAGTGTTTGGGGTTTTTAGCTCTGTTGCTGCGAATAGGGTTTTAGTTTTTAATGCTCACACTTTTTGCTCGGTGCCTGGGTGCACAATTGCACTTTCATAAACTGATTGACACTTTAATTCCGCTTACATTTGACTTTTCGTAACAATTACACATTCTTCCTGTGCACTGCTGCACACACACACACACACGCACACTGATTTGCAGTGTGACCACGGCAAACTGTTTTTCCCGAAGTTGGCAGCACCTGCCACACTTTTGCCTGCCACCCGCTAAAAAAGTGGTTAGAAACTTAGATCGATAAAAAAATTGTAAAACATTTGATTAGTGTAACCGTAGTCTGATGTATAAGTTTGATATATGTTTTCAAAAAGCGGTTATTTTTGAATATTCAATTTATTTTCAGGTTGATATTGACGAGCCCTTGCTAAGAAAAAACTCAACTTGCATCGATCCTTTGGTTTCTGATTACTTAAGGCACCGCTCAAGTCCATTGAACGTTCAGATTCTACAGGGAAGCGTTGCAGATTCTTCTGAAGAATTGCGAGACACAGATGCCGTAGTTGCACTCGAACTGTGAGTTACTTAAAAAAAGGGTTAATGGGTAATTTATTAACAATATTACTTTCCAGGATAGAACACGTGTATGACGATGTTTTGTCCAAAATTCCAGACAACGTTTTTGGTTTTATGCAGCCGAAGCTGGTGGTTTTTAGCACACCAAACTCAGACTATAATGTAATTTTTACCCGTTTTAATCCCTTACTGCCAAATGGATTTCGCCACGACGATCACAAATTTGAGTGGACTCGGGAAGAATTCAAAGCCTGGTGTTTGGGCATTGTCGAAAAATACCCTAACTACATGTTTTCCTTAACGGGAATGGGAAATCCGCCCAAGGACTTTGAATCCGTGGGCCACGTATCACAAATAGCCATATTCGTTCGCAAGGATTGCCTGGAAATGCAGCTAGAGAATCCTTTGGTTACCACACCTAAAATCGGTGAAGAGTCCACTCCCTACAAACTAATTCGATCAGTCGACTATCCATTTTATGTGGATACGCGAACCGAGAAGGAAAAGATTTGGATCGAAGTCCAGATAGAGATGCAGCGATTCAAAAGAATGGCTATTTACTCTGAAAATGAGCAGGATTCTTTTGACGACACATACAAAATGCCTATTACAAGTCTATTAAATCGCCTTCAGAACGTGGGAGCTACTAGAGAAGTCCTGGATGAATTGCTAAAGGAGAACAATTTAAAAGTGGAGGATAATTGTGTGATAATAGAAGATTCCGATGAGGAGTCAGAATGGTCTGAGCCCTATGAGTCTGATCATCTTTCCCAGGAGGTTCCACCGTCAGACAAAAATCAAGAGGAGGAGGAGGAGTGCTGGGACACAAAATCGGATTCATAGCTTTATAAGTATTAATAATTTAATATACTCTATAATTTGGTATTCAACCATTATCTGACGATAAAAGTTTTTTAACTTATAAAAATTAGTTTATAAATGGAATGTTGAACAGCCAAATTTAATGATTTTTCCAAATTTATCTGACTGCGCACAATAGAGAAAACTAAAGATTTAAGTTTTGTAATCCTCTAACTACATAATTTTCTTGGGTCATTAGTTCCATTTTGGATTGTTGAATAAACCGTTCCCCATGTTTTGTTGACTGACAATCTGTTGACATTTTGAGTGCATCATCGGGGCCCGGGGTGGGTTTTCCCTAGCATCATTGGCCAATCCTCCCCCAGCTGACCACTTTCCGTGCAGAAATCATTGCGAAAATTGGGGTTGCCGCCAAGATGATGACGATGACGCCGCGTCGTCTGTCTCGCAGTGGCACCCGCACGGAAATTGCTTTTGTTTGCAACACAAACCGGGGATGCAGGAAGCAGGAGGCGGGGCAGGCGAGCTCCTTTAACATGCAGACTTGGCGCAATCGCAGCGCACACCGAGTGTAGCTATTAAAGCCCCGGCTCATATGTCCTTCCCCGCGGCGCAGAAACTCCGGCTGCGGTCGCTAGTTAATGGAGTTGGCGTCAGAAAGGAGCCACGAAGCCGGTGGATTCGGTCCCATCGTTAGTCGCAAGTCAACCTCGCTCCTGACAGGCCGATCGAAACTAAAAACGGTGCCCGAAAACAATTGCCATAGCAGCCATCCTGCCGTGACAATAGCGCAAAAACGGAGAATTCATAAACATTCACCTGCCATTCATCAAGTATATACACATCTATAGCTACAGCGCCTGCCTTTACCTTGACTTGTGTGTCACATGTAAATAGGAATTTAACTCGATTTTTATTACATTAGCCTGGCTCCGTGATAGTTATTTTTTCGGATCCTGCCCTCAGTCGTTGGTGAATCGCAGACATGGCGGACGAGGAAGGCGGCAAGGAGGGCGAGAAGAAAATCGTGCACGTTTACCCTTTGGTGAAGGTTGGTTAATCGTAGAGTAGCCTGGTCTTGTCCTGACTGATTATCCCCGATTTAAGCACTCGGACATGAACGAGGAGATGCGGATAGAGGCCATTGAACTGTCTATCACCGCCTGCGAGAAATACGCATCAAACTATGAAGTAAGCGAACTAACTTAATGGAGGTTTATCATTTCATTCCTTTATTTATTAAAAACAATTTAAAGAAAAAGTGCGAATCAGTGTTTTTAATGATTCATTAACGTGAAAGTAAACAATTTGGTTCATATGTAATACTGCAATGCTTCTCTTAAGTTTCCCTTCTAACTATAAAAAAACATATGCTAACCTATCACTTTAAATCCATTACCAGCACGCTGCCAAAATCATCAAGGAGAACATGGACAAGAAGTTTGGCATCTACTGGCATGTGGTTGTGGGCGAGGGATTCGGATTCGAGGTCTCCTACGAGACGGAGAACATTCTCTACCTGTTCTTCGCCGGAAACCTGGCAATCGTGCTGTGGAAGTGCTCATGAATGCGGGTCAGCAGTCAAACGAACGTACCTAGAAACCGGAACAGAAACCAAAACCGAACCAAACAGAAACAGAACTTTAGCATTAACCTTAGTCATACAAACAGAACACTTACCGTTAACGAATGTTATGATTACTAAGTCTATGTGGCGCTGGCGGAGTAATGAATTCCATGGCAACGATGTGACTTGTTGGAAAAAGATTGGTTTTTATTACAAAATGTACCTAGTCGCTAGCATTTTGAAAGCACGCTTATAAAAATTGTTTGTATGCACTAAGACGAAAACTTAAAACTCGTGGATCGACGACACCCTCTACGCGTAGACATCCTCCCGATCCGCACCGGCGCCATCGCCGCCATCCTCGAGATTCGAGAAGAGCAGGAAGTGCGAGGTGCGGTGGAGTTCGTGGTAGAACTCCTTCGGGTTGGCCAGCTGCAGTTCGTACTTCATGTTGGGATCGTGGCGCACGCCCATGAAGTTGTAGTTCCAGCTGCTCTGCGCCGGCACCATGAAGAAGCCGAGGAACTTGTTCGAGAGCAGCATCTGGACGCGTTCGTAGTGCGACGGCAGGTAGCCCTTGGGATTGTTGCCCTTGTCCGTGTTCTTGGAGCCCCACTCGAAGCCCGATGGCGTCAGCTTGTAGGCGGTCAAGGAGCAGGATCCAGGTGTAAACGAGCACGTGATCACAATCGTCTTCTCGCCATCCCAGTTGGAGTTCTCCTGCATGATCTTCGCGTGCGTCGTAATGTCCTGCGGCGACAGTTGCGGCAGCTCGTTGGGCTGCGTGTGAATCCAGCCCAGCGGCTCCATGTCCTTGAGATACTGATGTGTGGGCAGGGCGTTGGGCAGGTTTATCGTCTGGTGGGTGCCCCACTGCGGCGGCATCACGATGCAGCGGATCTCCTTCACCTGGGGATTGTCCGGCGGACTCACGCCGTACAGGTAGCCCGCAATCTGGGCACGCAGATCCGAGATGGTGACAAACTTCTTGAGTATGTTCTTGGGCAGGATGTAGGTGTAGCCGGTCTCCTTGATGTCGTCCGAGCTCACGTAGATGTGGTTGGTTCGCAGGTGCAGATTGGTGGCGGAGATCGCTCTCACTCGCCACTCGGTCTTCGAGCTGAACGTTTGCGTCTCGTAGTTCGACGTGGTGGAGGTGATGATCTCGTCACCGTGCTTGTTTGTTGTACGCGTAGTCGTGGCGGTCAGTTGGTTCTGCTCCTTGGTCTGCTTCTCAATCTCGGCGATCTGCTGGCGCTGCGCTGACGGAGCGCTGATCTCCATGCCCAGAATGATGTCACGGATTTCGGACTGTGTAAGCGAGGCCACATTCACGTTGTTCTTCTTGCCGTAATCGGCGAGAATGAGGTCCTTAAGCTGCACCTCAACCTTGATCCATTCCTCGTCCGTGAGAGTGGGCCAAATGTGATGCGCCTCCGTTATGGTGGTCTTATCTGGCTTGAGGATGATCTTTGTCCTTTCGGTATTCACATGAAGAGCACGCAGAATGAGGATGAGACGACTGAAGGCCGTGTACGAAGAAATGGTCTTTAACCAATCGTCGTACAGGTTGAACAGCACCATCTGCGGTTCGGTGGCCTTGAGGATCAGATCGCCAAACTTCTCCACCTTGAGACAAGCCTGGAAAGGCAGCTGCAGCTCGGAGCCCTTGATCACAATGTTGGGGAAGTCGAGCAAGTGCACCTCCAATGGATCCAACATACCCTTGCGCGTCACAATGATCTGCTTGGGCTGCTCCTCCACGGGTAGAGAACGAATCAAGGCGGCCACCTCCTCAGCAGTCTTCCACTTGGCCAGCTGGCCGAGACGCTTCTGACCTGCCCACACCGAGGTGTGAATGATCTTCAGGAAGAGCTGACCCGTTCGCGGATTGAAGATGAAGATCGCTCCGTTAATCGGCTTCGTCGTCAGATTTCCCTCGAATGTCTTGTGGATTGTGACGCGATAGACGTTGGTGTCGTCCACGAACCAGATGATCTGGTTGGAGAACAGCTCTCCGTAGTTCTGCGAGCTGAGGTACGGCTCCGTTGGCTCCGAGGAGTACAACTGCAGCGCCTTGCGGATACGCTCACGCAGCACATAGAGCGCGGGATTTGCCTTCATGATCTTGGCCATGGCCTGCTGGATGAGTGTCTTGCAGCCCGGGAACCAGTTGCCATAGGCAGAGTGCAGATTGTAGGCCAGATCGATGGCTATCAGCACTCCCGTAGGCGAAGGATAGATCGACATGTTGTCTGTGGTGTAATCCAGGAACTTTGCCCTCGCATAGCGCTCCACATCGTGCGAATCGTAATCGCCCCAACGCAGCTGGATATCCAGCCAGTACTTCTGGGTGGTGGTATTGTCCATGGTGTCCTTGGTATCAGCCAGCAGCGAGGGACGCGACACATTCCACTTGTAGGCGGGGAAGAGCAGGATGTCGGCACACGAGGAGTTCATCTTGTAGGACTTACGCGGATGGATTGTCTCCTTCTGCACTGTCTCGATCTCTAGAGCGTCCAGTTCCTGATCGAACACCTGACACAGATCCATGACAATCGACTCGTGGATCTTCTGCCACAAATGGGCTCTGAAGATCTGGATGAGCGAAATCTTTAGCGTGGGAATCTTGCCGTGCATGAAGATTCCCGTTAGATCCAGTTGCACCTGGAAACCCACGTACACATTCGCACGATTGATGGTCGGTGACCACCACAATGTGAAGCGACGATTCGGAATCTGGTTGAGACCGGATCGCTGGGCATTGGTCAGCTTCTTGTACTTCATGGACTCCTCAAAACCAGACGCCTTCTCCCAAAACAGACCTTCCCAAGTGGGGAAGTAGGTGCCCTTGAACAGCGTGTGCTCCAGAATGCCCTCCACTCCGCCCAGCGCCTGGATCATGTCCGTGCGATAGTTGTTCAGGTTCCACAGCTTGCCGTCGTGTCGCTGATGCGTCCACCAGAAGGGATTCTGCTTCAGCACCTGGTACTGCTTGAACTCGGTTCGAATGCGCCAGCCCTTGTCGTAGGCCAGTGTGTGACGATCCTTCTGGAAGAGGGTGTTGATACGCGGAATACCGCGATCCCAGCTGTCCTCCAGATCCTCCAGTGTGAGCCTGCGGTTTTGGGCATTCGCCTCTTGACGCTTCAGTGCATATTCTGCCCACACGCGCTGCGAGTCGATGAACTCACTCTCCCAAGGTTGGATGTACCGATACAAATTCGGAATAAGCTGATCCTCATCGTGGGACATACCTAAAAAAATAAGATTAATATACATAAGTAACATGTTTAAGAACTCAATATTGTTTGTAACCAACCAGAGCGGAAATGAGTGATTCCCACATCCGTTTGCTTGGACCAGCGCAGATCTGATTGCGGAATCAAGACGTGACCCATGCTCAACATTCCCAGACCGCCCAGCTCCTTGGGAGTGTAGAACACAACGGGCGGGAAACGGGAAGGCATTTTCGAGTTCAGGCCAATCTTAATACGGGTCTGAATTTTGTTTTCGCACTTGACCAGCAAATCGAGCAATTCCTGTGTGTTGACCACAGCCTCACGGAAATAAGTCATCAAACCTATAAGCGCCGTATTCCATTTGTTCACAATCTGGAAAAAAAAAATTGTTTTATTACTAAAAATTCTTTAATATACGAAAGGCTTTAACTACCTTTGTAAATGTAGTGGAACCGGAAGCCATCAGGATCTGTCGCACACGATTGTGGAAGCGTCCCAGCGATTCATCATCTACGCGCAGGAAGCACTGAGCCGTTCGCTCCTTGGTAATTTCGTTCTGCAGGTTCCAAACGCCATCGCGATGTGTGAACTCTTCATTTTGGGTGCGACACTGAGGGGAGATAATGATTATTATAAACTGATCTTAGACTGAATTTGTGGCTAAAGGAACCTTTGGCAAGATGCGACACTCGAATCCACTCATGTTGAACAAGAGATTGGGATTGTCCTTGGAATAGACTGAAACGAAGGTGCTCTCCCAACCAATTGTAGTAACAGATCGTGGCAGGCGATTCTTAATATCCCAAAAGACAGCGCGACCCCTGAAAAATATAAGAAAATATTCGTTAACCTTCTTAAATATTAAATACAAAGAAAAGGAAAACTTACAGATTGACATCGTGTTTCATCAAACGCATGCGAGCATCGCGTGGCCAGCACTTCTTGTTATTATAGCCCACAATGTTCTCGTTGTTCGGATCAGGATGTTCGGTGAGATAGCGCTGGATGAGATCTCGCGCCTCCTCCGCCGAGAACCTGAAGAACAGGTGAATGCGATCAACGTAGCGACAGTACAGTCGAATCGGATGCGCCGTTTCAGTGACTGCGTCCTGGAACGTGAGGAAGTCGTTTGGCATTTGCGGCGGACCAGCCATCTCGCTGGATCGATGGAGACCCAGCACCAAAAGATCCAACACCAAGCCATAGTACTGCGTGATGAAGGAGGAGAACTGCAGGCCACGAATGATGCCGTAACTGTTGGTGTGGTTCATGTCCTTGTAGTTGATCACCACGTTGTTCTTGGCCGTCATGTAATCAGCGATATTGTGATCGACGATCAGGCGGAGAAGTCGATTGAGCAGCGTCAAGTCAATCTTCTCGTAGAGCTTCTCGAATCTCGACTCCAACAGCACATTGCACTCGCCCTCACCCACATCCCAAACATCCTGCAGGTTGTTGATGCCTAAGAAGAATAGTAGTTTCAAACTATATAAACAAGGGAATTATATAAGTTCATTCTTAAATATAGAATTTTTAATCACTTCAGCTTATTTCATTTGATGTTATGTGGGATCCATCTTTGGCGTGAGGTTTGCAACAAGGGGATGATCAAATACATATCACTTTGCTACAAATCACACACCCAAAACGCCCAGATACTTTAATATCCCCTACACCAATTATTTTATAAACATCTTTACCTTGACACCACTTGTAGGCCAACAATGGTGGGGGCTCAGTATCGCTGGGCTTGATCCATGGCGGGAACAGTCGTCGCTTGTCTGCCTCATACCACAGATACTGATCCAGATAGGCGTCCGTGATCTTCTCCAGCGGTTCCACTTCATAGACAGGTATTAGATGACTGTACAAGTCCATAAACTCGATGCCCACCTATAGTTTAAATATAAACATTAATTACTAATCAACAAAAGCAGAGTTATGGATAACTAACCTCTTTGAATGCTCGCTGCGTGAGCAGATGACGCTTGATACGGGACAAGGCTTCATGGGGATTATCGTATGCCTGTTCAATAAGACCCAGCTCCTCGCGCTGACTTTGATTTAGCCTGGACTTCACGCTGTACGCCTCCTTTAAACGCTCCAAGGCCAGAATTAAAAGCTTAGTATCGTGCTTATACGAAAGTGGCGGGAAGGGAATGGGCGCAAAGCGACGAGACTCCAGCCAGTGAACGGTGGTGGTGTAGATGGCCACTGCCTCCTCCGGTGATATGTATGGGCCATCCTTTAGGTAGTTGTGCTGCCTCTCCTGCTCTGCCTTAAGATAAAGTCGAGTCAATCGCCCCAGGTTCTTTTTGCACACGGTCTTGTCCACAGTGGCTCCTCGTCGGATACGCTCGCGATTGTAGTGAGCCGTGTTGGTCCACCAATCGGCCTTCATTTTAACGTAACGCAGGATCATATTCTCGATCGGAATGGGCAGACCGGGCACCTTCCACGGAATGTTCGCCTTCCAGCAGCGCCATGCCTCCGAGAGATGCTGCAGAATAGTTCGCGCCTTGTTCTGCTTGATGCCCTCGGGCATCATGTCCACGATGTCGTGCATAACGGAGGCACGCAGCTCCAAATCGAAGTGGGATTCGACGCGCTGCTTGGTCACCGTTTTGGCCACACCCTTGGAGTGTCGTCCTTCGAACTGACGCGACAGCAGATTTCCCAGCCAGCGCTCCAGGAGCGGAGTGATGCCGCGCATGAAGAACAGCCAGACTCGCCATCCGGGCGCCCAGAAACCACATCCAGGTCCCTTGCCCACCGGTCCAGTGTTGAAGCGGTAGTAGATCAAATGCTTCAGATCCTTACACATTCGAATCTGCCTCATTAGCTTGTATTTGTAGCGATACATGCCAGTCAGCTGGCCAACGTGGGCGAATATGTACTGCAGTCCGTCGGCCAACTGAAAGGCGTCCACATTGTTCAGCCGGTACTGAACATGCGAGTCAATGATTAGCTTGGTCAGACGCAGGATCTCACGGCACAAGTGGAAAGCTAATAAATGAAGCAATATATTATTTATCATATGTTAAAATTACACTTATCGATCCACTTACCATTTCCGAAACGTGACTTTTTACGCTCTTTGGTGGTCAGAGTTTTGACTGGCTTCAAGTTAAAGTTGTAATCCAAATGCAAATAGTTAAGATTCTTTCTGTGAATCAAGAGGTTAAGCATGTTGTATCCCTGACGGCAAACCTGCAATCCAGCCTCAACCCAATCCAGAGTGGTGGTCTGGAAGAATTTAGTGGCCTTGAACGAGCGGAAGAGGTAGCTGTAAAGTAAATTTAAATATTATATATGGTTTAATAGTTTTTCAGCAAAACAACTTACCGTTTCTTCTGCGGCTTTGGTTTGCGGTGTTTCAGCGCATTGAGCACGTAGTATTTGAGCAATTTTTGGTAGCTAACGCGCACCTTGACCGGATGACCAGGTGGACAATGCTCCTTGTACCAGCACTTGACAAGCGGAACATCGATCGCACGACGGGAGCGACCAGAGCGCATATTGAAGGGCCGTGGAGCCCACAGCAAGGCGATGCCGTTGGCTGTATTGTCGGTATACAGAGGAGTGTCCTGCAGGAAAGGCTGCACATCGTCCGGAAGAGTAAAGTCCTCATCATCATCCGGCAGAGGCTCCTGCACCTTGGAGTTGGCATTGCGATGGGAAATGGGATTGATGAGCGGATCAAAGTAAAAGGCGGGCAGATCGGGATCTTCGGTCTTGATGTAGACCACGTTGGGAGTGTGATACCTGAAATTATGAGAAATCAATGGTTATTTTCATTCCCATAGCTTAAGGGGATATTATGTGTATGCAACTATCAGCAGTCACGATTTATTCTTAACAATCGCCACGAACATATTCATTGCAGCTCCCGTTTATCGCAAAATTGGTAGTAAGCTGGGAGCTCGACGTTATTCTAACGCGACATGAAGCATTTCCAGCGAGGTTGTTCACTTGGAAACGTTACTACCACGTAAATGAGATTTTAGGTTAATCATTTCAAAAGGATATGGGATCTTACCAGCTCAGATGCACAAAGTGTGGCATGTTGTTGTACAAGTAGGGAAAGGCAATGCGGTATTCCGTGCGAATGGGCTGCCGAATGATGACTTTGTTAATGTCGTTAAACTCGTTCCAATCCTCGTCACTGGAAAAAAATATGATAAATCTTTTTTTCGGGGTGTTAATTGAAAATATTAATTACCCGACGTTGTGGTCTTTAATGAGGGGTTCAAATTTGGGTCCACCCGGAATGGCCATGTTCAATGCCTTGGCGGTAAAGAAACTTTTGGGGTCAAACAGATAAAAGAAGTTGTTGTCTACCAAGTCAGTGAGCAGTTGATTAGCCAGCCGATATAGAGTAGCCAACTGCGGCAGGGAAAGATTCCACTTGCGGTAGGTGGTGCCGTTTACGAATCTGAAATAATAATATATGTAAACCAATATGATAAATTTTAATGCTTAGCTTTAAACTTACTGCGTATCTACTAAAGGACGATGATCGTAGAACCATTTGTATACGGCATTATCTTCATCATTGTCCAGCTCAATTTGAATAGCCTCCAGAGGCTCTACATCGAGAACGTTGTCAGCGTAGTCCAGAGGCGGCTCCTCATCGTCAAAAGGCGGGAATCGCATACGTTTGAAGTGGCGACGATCGCGCTTCTCACGTCGCATCATTATCCACATGGTTCTAATGGAAAATTAACCATTTAATAAAAAATAAATAGGGTAAAATAGTGTAAACTTACCCCCATTGGGCAATGTAAACGGGCTCAATAACCCAGGGAATCTCATTCACAAAGGTAATGGCACCGGTGATGTGGTACAGAACCTGGACATCTCGGATCTGCTCCCATGGCATGGGCATGTTTTCCAGCAGTTTGAGCACTGCATGTGGCATGTACTTGAGGGCGCCCAAATAGACACGCTTGTCGTGGCGATATTTGCGCGAGGTCATATCTCCGTGATCGCGTATGATCTTACGGATGTGCTCCGGGGGCATGTCTTCCTTTTGGGTATCTACAAAGCCGAATTTGCGCTTCTCGGCAAAACGCTTAGACTGCAAGTGCTGCCATTTGAGGGCCTTCTCCTGCAGCTTCTCCTCGGTGAGAATATCCGGTTTGGGAGTGGGAATTTGCCCCAGTCCAGGTCCCTGACCACCAGCGGGAATGGGAATTCCGTTGGAGTGACCACTGGGTGGAGGCAGAGGAGCTCCTGGTGGTGGAATCTGCTGAATCTGGTTCGCCATCTGCTGCTGGGCGTGCAGTTGAGCCTGCTGCGCGTGGGCCGCCGCATACGCCTGCTGGGCCATCAGCTGCGCCGCCCAAGCATTTTGCGGTATCATGTACGGCGGAATGGACATCGTTCCGCTGTACTAATCCTAATCAATAAACGAAAAAAAATGTACACTTTACGACACACAGACACGTTTTGTTCGCTAAGGGAGAAATCGAATGCCGCCGACGTCGCGGTCTTTTGCACTTTTTACCACGCCGGAAAAATGACTTTATTTCGTTCTCCCCAAGTCCATTTTTTGTTTAAATTAGTCGCTCGACAGTTCATCAGCAATTTATTTACCTATTTTGCACTTTATCTAAGTTTCTTCGGCCGCAATTCACAATTTTTCCGGTTTGCAAAACGAAAACTTTTTTTTTCATGCGGCAGCCATTTATTTCTGATGGTGGCACGAAATCTAGTGATGGCTTACAAAAAATGATGCATGCGATGTCAAGGTAGCAACACATAGGGCGCGATAATTCAAATAATTAAAATTTTTTTAAACAAAAGTAAAGTCATAATGATCAATTGATTGTTTAAATCAAAATTTAACTGAATGCGAATTTCCGAATAACAATGACCGGGAGCATAAAAAATTTAATAAAATGTAATTAACAAATTCTTGTAATTAGATTAAATGAATCATCTTGTCAACGAATGTGTTAAACAGTTTATTAGGATCTTTTGTCAACCTAGTGCGTCAATATTATTCTTGATGACTAGAAATTTCGCAATTTTATTTGTACAGTAGACACTTACTAACTATAATATGCTTATTGCTTGATGTTCTTAAAATATTACTGGTGAACTTTATATTTATATAAATGCCCAAGAACTTGTTCTTTGCCACCAATTAACCGAATTAGAGAATCATTTTGAGTCATTAGCCTGACCCTGATGCCCTGAATCACCTCATTTCCCATCGGGTAACGACTTCCCCAGACTCCGAAATGTTTGTCCAATCAATGATCATGTGCGAAATCGATCCCCGGGATGTTTTGACCACTATAAATATTGTTGGTCGGCCGTTGGGTATCACAGTTTACGGACAACAACGCTTCTAACCAGAACACGATCTGGAAAAGTTGCTAATTTGACACAAATATAAGCCAAGTAAATCCCCGAGAAATTTCGCAAATAAGATCAACAATGGCGAAGGTAATCTACACAATGAAAACTTTGAGCAATTTATAACAACACAAAAAATGTTAAATGTTTTGCAGTTATTTTCCATCTTTTTGTTCCTGGCTATTATTGGATTCATAACTGCAGGACCTATAGAGGTATTTATAGTTTAATATTTTCCTAACACTTTTATTAAGTCAATATTGTAGGACCCAAAAGCTGCTGAAGAGGGGGATCTTTCCACTGCTGATTCCGTTGGTTACGGGTATTACGCGGCTCCGGCTCCCATTTATTATGGCGGCTATGGCGGTGGCTATAAATACGGCGGTTATTCCGGATTTGGCGGTTACCACGGTTACGGCGGATATCGCAGTTACGGTGGCGGCTACTATCGCCCTCGAATTTATCCTGTGTGGGGCTAATTAAATAAGCCAACTTAACGTTCCCATAACCCAAAATCCTATGTAATCGCACAAGTAACCAAAGAAATTATACAAGCCCCCTAAAAGTTAACCCTTTCACTGTCTTGCAACCATAATGATGACGTCACTTGGAGTTTTTGACCCCAGACCACAATTAACGCCGGCTTTAGTGCAATAAAAACAAAACACTTTTATGTACGAGTACGAGTTCGCATGTGCGGTTTATTATTTTCAAATTTCAATTGTCTAAAACCGGATTTTTGGGACTTGGTTCGGGCTTCCGAAGAAATTGAGGCGGCTTCAACGGCCAGCTAACGTAACATAGTTCAGCAAAATACAGAGTTGGCCAAGAGTAATTACACATCTGAACCGCCGACTCGAACCTGGACTTAAACAATCCACACATACTCGGTTTTTGGGGCCATAAACGGGGTCAGAAAATAACGTAATGATACAGTGGATATCGGTAAAGAGATCAACATAATTTTGGAATCATCAAGAAAGGTTAACTTCTTTTAAGAACCTGGTCTTCAGATAAGATCAATTCTAGCCTGTAAGATCTTATAAAATTGTACTCCTCTTTAGTAGTTTTAAAAATTCATTATAAGTTAAAAATTCGTTATATCAGGGTTTTGTAATGGAAATTTGAGTTTATTTTTTGGTCATGGCATACACTTGTATATTGTTTAGAAAATCGTTTCTATTATTCCAAATTGACAATGGGCTTGTGCTCAATATCCCTGCGTTACAGCTTACATAGGACATAAGTTAGGATTTAAATAGGATATATCCTGGCGGAAATATGTTTTCTAGTGGCGACGCGATCCTGTGTGCCTTTTGTGGTGGTGCTTGTTGGTCTTTGAGTGAGAGCGGGCTTTCCGGAAGTGGTTATCCTGGTGGTGCTCCTTCTGGTGGTGGCCCTTCTTGTGGCTCTCCTCCAGCTGCCTCCTTGCAGAAGTCGCATGACCATGGGATTTGTGCTCCTTGTGGTGGGAAATGGCTTGGTGCAGGCTCTTTCTATGTTGAATGCGCTCCTTGTTCGCATCCTGCAACTGCTGGTGGTGGTGAGACAACTGGCGTTTGTGGTTCAGATGGTGGTTCCTGTCATTGTCCTCCAACGGTTGCATGGCCACAGCCACGGCCACCAGAATGGTGGCAAAAACAATAATCTGGATGGGCAATCGCAGCAAATCGGGTAAACATAATTGGAAGGGATTGAAAGTAAATTAAATTGAACTGTCCGCGATATCTAGAGCCCCGATAAGATAAGGTCCGCCCCTTGGAACCACACTCACCGCCTTCAACATGATTGCTGTGGGATATTAACAAAGCTTTCGTTTCTGTTCGTGTAAACTCAGCGACGTTCCAGTCTCGACTGTTTTTCGGAGCCTCTTCCGCTGCTGTTTATATCGTTATCTCTTCATATATGTGGTCCCCAGCCCCTATATCACATAGATGGGTATATATTTTTGTCGCTTTTGAGTGCGGTGGAGTTTTATCGCCCATTAAGCGAATAGACGAACAGACGCCGAACAGCTGTTGGATGATTTCCAAGCTGAGATTAGCAGTTCCCTGAAGCCTTAACTCAAACATTTCAAGTTATTATGGAACGTTTTCCAGTGGCTTACAACCTTCCTGAATCAAAAGCAAAAAGTTGGTCATTGAACGCTTTATATAAACAGATAAGATTTACATTGACTAATATTACACCGCCCCTAATTCAAGTGCAATATAGCTTTCTAGATTTCAATAAAAAGAAATCTTTTTACTTTTATCTTTGAAAAACTGATGCAGACATAAAGATAAAATTTACTAAAAAGTCTTTCAAAATGAGCGATTGCATTGACTGAATTAGATTTCGTTCCTTGGGCGATATAATTAAAAGGCGAGGCTACCAAATTAATATTGCCGATGGTGACAAATTTCTGCCATTTGCCATTTTTTATTAATTTATTACTCTCTTCTTCACTGATAACGCCAGGTCTTCAAAAGCGTCTAAGAGAACGGAAGAGAATCTTATACCAGTACCGCCAACCACAATGGATTAAAATAATCGTTATCTTTTGAAATTGCTATCAAGTTGGGTCAGCCAATAAACAGTAGAACGCAAAACACTCCAATGACGAAGGATCGGAAATTTCCCTTATCTGAAAGGAAGGGAAGGGCGATTGGCTATAATTTAAACTTCGAGTGCTGACCATCCACTCGAGATATTTTAGAAAATAATAATGCGCATTGCCCCCGAGAAATAATTTTGTTAAGTCATAAGTTTTATTATCGGAATCAAGAAAATCATACATCGAATGGAATAAATAAAAGAATTGCTCTCGTTTTCTTTGCTTGGTGTGGAATCTATTGGTTAATAAGTTTATTTATCTTGGATATCGTGTGAATATTGATTTTTTTTTGCTGGCGTATGTGAAGTAGCTTTTATGCATATGTGTTTCCCTTCAATCCTTCATCTTTTCTACTTTTCCTTTCTCATCGCGTTAAGCATACAAAAAGTGAATAAAAATATATATAATATTTTCTAGTTTGAAAAAATTGGGATTACGATACATAATATATAAGCTTAAATATAACATATTGAAAAACATGAAAAGATAAATTGTGATTACAACAAAAGCGAAAACATTAATACAAAATATTGATTCACGTATAAACTTAGGATAATTACATTTTTTTTATGACATTTTTCTCTTTTAAAAATTTTTTTTATATTTTCTTTCGTTTTTTTTTCGATTATATGTTGAATATAATTATTTGCGATCAGGCTCTTAACGTGGCTGGCCGTAATTGAAAGACTACCAAAAAATCAAGCCGCTCCGGGACAATTTTATAACGATTTTCGACTACGTAAACGCGAAGATTTCAAAAGGGTGAATTTGTTTTTTACTGAACACATTGGTTTCAATATGTTGCCGGATATAGGGTGAGCTAATATTTAATTATTTGCGGAAACTACGGATTGAATATAGGCTTGTTGCTGATTAAAGGTGTTCTTCATCGTTCTTGCTGCGAAAATCGTCCCACTTCGTCAAACTACTCCTCCATGTTGTATAGAAAGTAGTGGTTCTCATCATCGTTCATGGCGGCCGGCGGTGCCTGCGGTGCCTTCCTGGACAGAGGCTCGAAGCCCATGAACAAGAACGCCTCAATGAGGCGGGCCTTGTCCGGCTGGTCCTTCGGCATGACCATCACGATGCCGTCCACCTCGAGCCTGTCCTCGGCGAACTCCAGGAGCGAGAGGAAGGTCTGCTTGGAGCCGGCCGGCGGAAGGTCCTTCGGCAGAGCGACGTACAACAAGTTCTTGACTGGGTTCAAAATCGTATTCCAATTGGTGTACTGGTCCTCGGTCACGTGCAGCTTGATGGTGATCTGCACCGGCTGGTCGTGCTGCAAGATCTGGCGCAGCACCTCGTGGCAGTCATCGTCGGAGCACAGCGAGTGGATGTCGGGCTGCGACTCCAAATCGGAGCAATCCGATTCGGAGGACGACAACGACGACGCCCGGGAGCTGGCCTCGTAAAAGCTGCCACCAGCCGAGTCGACCGAAGACTTACGGCTGTAGCCTAAATGGTTTAATAGAAATTTAATAAAAAATTCTCTTATTATGTGAGAGACAGTACTCACCCGTTAAGAGCGATGCCCTATCGTGATCTGTTCTGTGGTGGACAGGGACATCAGGACCACCACAGAGGCCCTACGCCGAGAGAGATGCGGTAGGACTCCGAGGACATGGTCGTGGCGCAAGACGAAGTCGAGATGGTGCGGAGTTTGCCATCGGCAATTCCGCTGTCATTAAAGTCTCTTCTAACGAAGCCACTACTAAACATTGGGTCGCTGTGGGTAAAACAATTGTTAAATAAGAAAACCTCTTGCACACTTGGTGGTGCCTAATCGATTTTGTAGTGACTTTCAATTAGCTACCTCAGCGATTGCTTGAATTAATTTATTTAAATTTCTTAATGAAGGGTAATAGGTTCTGAGCAACTGATTTTCAATTTTATTATCGGACTTTAAATTTAAATATTTAAGTTTCTTAGTGAGAATTTCTATTCTAGTAATTACTTTAAACAACCTTACTATTTCGTAAAGCTCAACAAAAAATTTACCAAAGCATGGTGAAGAGTAAAACTCAGTTGGTGGCTGAACGTCGCAAAAGTTGCTAACAAACTGCAGGCCACGAAGGCAGAACAAAAGGCTTATCAGCAGAGCACGTACAATTAAATTATTTCGCTTTTATGACGTACAAGTGTTGTTTGTTTTGAAGCGATAAGATACGCGCCTTATCGGAGGACCGATAGCTCCGATACAACACTGCGCGAGAATTGCAGTATGTAGCCGGTTTCACCATAGCCTCTGTTAAAGAAACCCGTCACATCCGAGACACCAACCGATAATTACCTCGGTTGAAAGAAGAGGGTTGTGGATTTTTTAGGGTAATTTCTTGCATTGCAAGATGGCGAACGGCAGCTGTCAAATCGCACATATACACAGGCAGACAAGAAACACAGACACGGAAAAAATCGGCGCAAACATCGTGAAAAGAAAAAGCAGAAAGCGGCATCGAAAAAACCGTGGAAAATCAAAAGTAACTCACAAAAAACAGACCAAAACTCATCAAAAATGTCGATTGGAGTACCCATTAAAGTGCTGCACGAGGCCGAGGGCCACATAATCACTTGCGAGACCATTACCGGCGAGGTGTACCGCGGAAAGCTCATCGAGGCGGAGGACAACATGAACTGCCAGATGACACAAATCACGGTGACCTACCGGGACGGGCGTACAGCCAACCTGGAGAACGTCTATATCCGTGGCTCCAAAATCCGCTTTCTCATACTGCCCGACATGCTGAAAAATGCCCCGATGTTCAAGAAGCAAACGGGCAAGGGGCTGGGGGGGACGGCGGGCCGCGGCAAGGCGGCCATTCTGCGCGCACAGGGTGAGTCGAGTACTTTTAGGCAAACAATTTACACAAGACTGTCTTTATAAAGATATTGTGATATTGTAATGTTCCTTATCTTCTTAAAGATTTTGACGCATTATGATAGCTATTTTTTAGATTAAATTTATATTTAAACTAAAATTATGCAATAGCTTTTGATATAGCATTCCCATTTATGCCTTAAATTTAGAAATCAGTAATACAATTTGTATTTCATTTAATGTTGAAAATTTATATGCTTAATGACAGTCTTGTTGTAATTTGGCCTATTATAATCCTCTAAAAATACTAACAATAATTCCTCCTATTTCAGCTCGGGGCAGAGGAAGGGGCGGGCCGCCGGGTGGTGGAAGAGGCAGTGGCGGACCGCCAGGAGCTCCGGGAGGCAGCGGCGGACGCGGAGCCTGGCAAGGAGGACCCACCGGCGGTCGGGGACGCGGCGGACTGTAGGAACTGGCTCCTCGACAACGCATTTTTAATCTCTAAGTTGCGGGCATTATATTATTAGCGGGCGGGTTGAACTTCTCCAGATTTTTGTAAAAGTATTTACCAGGCAGAGAAGAGCCAAAAATACAATTGAAACTTGAATTGAAAACGCAGATAGTTTCCTTTCTATAGATTCACCTAAAAGGTGGGAAGAATTAAACACCACAACCAGAGGACGCTTACAAGTTTTGCCTTAAACAAGCTAAGCACACCAATATCATCGTCGCCTTTCGAATGTTATACAAAGAGAGCAATTCCATGACAGTATTACTATCAGTTTTAACTTGACTGTCGACGGATAGCTCTCTTCATTTCACTATTCGTGGAGAGTCCTTTGGGATCGAGACCACCTTAACAGACAGGACAACGGACAGGTTATTGCAGACAAACTGGGTTTAGTTTTGGGGTTAGTCTCATAGCGCAACGTCGAATATTATACAAAGAGAGCAATTCCATGACAGTTTTAAATGGATTTCTGGACTGTCGACGGACAGCTCTCTTTATTCACTTATTCGCATTTGGTTTTCGATTCGTTCTAGTTGTTAATCAGACATACAATGGGGACGACACAAAAATACGGATACCTATACTATGTACGCTCTCGAGGAGGGTGTTCGTATACATATGTATTGTTTGCCGGCAGCTCGAGCGAAATATGCCAGGCATTTTGTTGTTTCCTTTCTGTTAAGCCAATTAAATCAACAAACTGCGCACTTGGCAGGGCTGTGTGAATTGAGCGCAATAGAGGCCTGAATGGGAACGGTGGCGAGATGCAAATATAGCTTAATGGATGCAATTTATGTGTATGCTAGGGGGCAGTAATATTTTTCCGAATAAATGGCACGTGCAGGGCAACTAAAAGTGCTTTCCCAATAAGTACATAAAATCGCTCTGCTGACGTACCCCTGGATGATCTGGTTGTCGGGCTGCGCCACCAAATTGCTGGATGTCGTCATGGCCAAGTTAAATATTTGGTCTCCGGTTGAAATTAAGATTTATCACAGCTGCAGTTTACTATCTGTCTCTTTGGTTTGTGCTCTTTATCTATCACAGGTTGCGTTGCTTTCGGTCCTTTGACGGCGCGTGGAATTCACATCGAAAAGGTTGGGATCGCTCTGTGATCTGGCCTAGTTTTCTCCTACGATTTCTCGCTGATCTGTGAGGTGCTGTGCTTTGGACGTTTGTCTGGCGACTGACGACATCCAAACGGTGGCGGCATCATTTATGTGATTAAGTAGCAGCGACTAGGAGGCCCCACGAGATATATACCATAGTACCTCTCTAGATATAAAGGCGGGTACAGTCGGTCAGATATGGATCTGAATTGAGCTGCGGGGTGAGGATGAGTCACTACCCAAGGTCAAATGGAGCCCCGTTCGCCCCACAAAATGGTGGTGAATCGCATTGCAAATAAGGCGCAAATAACTATAAGCAAAAACGCCGGCAAGCCCAGCATTTGTGTTTACAAGTTTGCAATGGACAAACAAAATAAACGAAGAGAGCTATGGCTATAAATACCGGGAAGATTATATACAAAAAGTTTAAGCAAAATTGTTCGCGGTGAAGTCAAAAACATGGCCACAGTTATATTTGGCTGCACGTGTTTCCCCTTTTTTTGCAGACAAAACTACCACAACCAAAAAAATAAATTCCAAATCAATATTGGCGACTACTGCCATAAACAAAATCCTAAAGATAGCCATGATATAAAAAATGGTTTTAAAAGTTAAAGAGGGGTAAAAGTCAACGTGACTAGTCTCCATTGTGAATAAATGAATACTTGAGTTTCAACAGCAGAGGTCAACTCAATAACTACTAAGACTCTCATATCTCTTTGATAAGAAACTGTAGTGTTATTGTTAATATATGGTTTTTTGTTTAGGGTACTAATTCGATATAAAAATTACGTTACCAGAAAAAAAAATAGTATTTCCAAAAACTTTTTAAACAAAATTTTACTTTTAAAGAGGTTAGCCGTCAATTAAAGCATTCATTTGAATATGGAAGATTCTTGATTTATGCCTTTGCCTGTAAGAATTTGTTTTTTCTTCATGACGAAGGCAAGGGACCCCATTTTGTTACTGGGTACTTTTTGTTGTATTAGTTTACGGTTGTCGTATATACTTAAGCTAATCTTTCAGCGTCGATCACGTGTCGTCTGCGAAACAATACTGAGCACTGAAGACGAGTTTTAAATGGGCTTTTTTACATAATCAGACTTTTAAAGAAAAACCTTGAGTTAAGTTTTTCTTTTATCCCTGTAAGTGCGGTGCAGCAAACTTAGTAAAACAGTGAATATCATGTCATATAGATAGCACCCAATCTAGATAAAAAGAGGGGGTGATAAGAACACGTAATTGGTGGGCTTGTGTAATCAACATCAAAACTTAACGTTCTGCTTGGACAAATATTAGTGGATCAGGGTACAATCTTTCGACGGGGAAAACAGCCGTAAAAAGAGAAGTGTACTAGGTAAACAGGTTGGAAGATTTCAGACAAAAGCAAAGCAAGATGTCATAAAGCAAACACTGGAAATTATATGGTAGTACCAGAACAATAGACGCGATAAGAGATACGATCTCATGTGGCTCCAAAAGATAAGATTAAAGCGAAGAGGGGGTGGGAGGTGGGCAAAGAGGACGAACGTATTTGCTAGAATGAGCCGATGACCCAATATTGCTGTATATACAGCCGTCTCTTTTTTTCTCTCCACATATTATCGAGCTTGCCACACAAAAACAAAGCAAACTGCAATGGTGGCGAGTGGAATTTTCCCTTGTTTACAGCAACTGAGCTTGTGAGTGTGGTTGCTTTTATGACATAATGCATGCCCCAGCTTCATGCACCAGAAAATAAAGAGCTTTCGGGAGATTTCTGGACTGTTCCAAACCAATTGTTGGAATAGATAAAGTAACGGTATAAAGACTGGTTTTTTTTCAGTTGTAACTCTTCGAGGGTCTTGCATAAAACGCCTTCACCAAAAGTCAATTCCAATAAGAGGGCGAAACAGGTAAACAAAGAGTAGGGGAGCACACGCACACACAGACGTGCAAACGTTCTCCAAATTAAATGGGGGGTCAAACTGTAAATAAAGAGAGGCTATGGCGTTGCCAGAGCGCAAACACGAAGTGTCTTTGCGCTTGATAATTAATAAACAAGACCTGTAAGCAAGTGGATTATTAATGCAGTTATAGAAAGCGGATGTTGTTTATTTGTCAACAAAATAAACGACCAACAAAAGAATATATGTACCGCCCATAGGGTGGCAACCCTGAGTGACGGCCATCTTGAACGGAACAGAAAACAGTAAATAAATAAGCCATACAATAAAGTAAAAAATTAAATTTCACAGTTTCAACTGAAATCAATTATTTACTTTACTTACGAATCGTGCCAGCACTCACACATGGCCACAATTTTCATTATTTATTTCCGTTGTTCCTTTTGTTTTTGACTGTGTGCGTCACAGATGATTTAAAAAAAAACATCGACCCACACAGCTGCACCTGACTAGATGTGTGCGTGAAAAAATAAACCAACACCGTTATCCGATTTATTAGCAGGTTACACTTAAACTATAGCACTACAAACCATCACAACCAAACCTTGCCACCAATTAGAGAGGGGTCGTGGACTCCCTCGCACTATTTTCATTTCTCTTTTCTTTCTTTTTTCACACTACAAAATCGACTTGCACTTTTTTTCTTTGTGTATGGCATCCAGTTGGAGACCATTACTTACAGTTTATTATTCATATTGGATGGCATTTTCACACTTAATGGTTGCAATTTAACGCACTGAGAATAAATCGAATCAATCGTAATTGAACTTTTTGGAATAACTTTTCCTTTTGGGTGGTAGCAAGACCTCCTGTTTTGGTGTCGTTGAGTCAAAATTTAGTATAAAACTGAGAAATATACCGAAGTGGCTTGCGTTTTATAGGATTTGCAATGGGGTTTTTCGGGGGATTCAAGACCTTTGCAGGCTGGTCACACAATCGGAACAACAATTGCACTGAAGAACCAAGATATCTCGATAGTTTTATGGTTTATTTAAAAGGCATCAGATATAAATTAAGACTTATTAACAAAGAAAAGCATAACATTTTTTTATTTTGCTTAAGCTTACCAGAAAATCTAACCTTAATATAATTCTTATTATGAATTTTTCATAAATAACAAATGGTTTCAGGGATTAAATTACTGGCAGCTGGAGCTCCAGCAAATTATAAATTCTCCTAATGGAATACCCTTATATATATTTTAATTTAGAAATAAAAAATATCGATACTCATCGGCTCCACTTGATTCTCTAGCTACAACGCGTTTGTCGTTTTTTAGGTTCAGTCGTTCGTTCGTTGGAGCTGGTAAAATAAAGTCGGGAAATAAATCTTAGAAAAACGTGTGAATCCTCAATCCTTTTAACTCAAAAACCATGAGCGCCTTTCCCGGAACGTTCGCGTTCGACGAATATGGTCGGCCTTTCATTATCCTGCGCGACCAGGAGCGCCAGAAGCGCATCACAGGAACAGATGCCATAAAGGTAAATGAAAGAAGATTTGCCGGTGTAAGCGAAAGGATTTCGCATCCTGAAGGAGCTAAAGTGCAGGAGACTTCTCAGTAAAGGGGTACTTTAAAATATTTTAGTTAAATGAGTCTCAAGAATGACGCATAGTTTGTGGAACATTCCAGATGTTCTATAAAGCCGGTTTGAATTCGACGGACAGTTGTTAATTTCAACGAACATAGTTAATATATCCTGTCTGGAGAGTGAGATGTCACCTTACGTATTCTTTCATTCCCTTGTTGCATTGATAAACAAAAAATTTGACGAAAATATTTCGTCTGGCAAAATTTGAGGTTAAAATGCCGCCCAGATGTTTTTCTTTCATCGCCGGCTGAGTCACGCGCACTGTCAAAAGTATGGATATTAAGGGGAACACAGCTGAAATGCACTGACAGAACTAATTTGTAGTCCTTTTACTGTATTACTCAGTGTCCTGCTATGAATATAAATATGTATGGGGTTAAATAATCAGATTCGATTTGACTTCCAAATGATTTTAAACAAGAATTCCATGCCACTATACCATCATACTAATGCCACTTTTCTTTCCCAACAGACGCACATTATGGCCGCACGGCAGATCGCCTCCACCCTGAAGACCTCACTGGGTCCCAAGGGTCTGGACAAGATCATGGTCAGTCCCGATGGTGATGTGACGGTGACCAACGACGGCGCCACCATCATGAAGCTGATGGAGGTCGATCACGAGATCGCCAAGTTGATGGTGCAGCTGTCGCAGTCGCAGGACGACGAGATCGGCGACGGAACCACCGGCGTTGTGGTCCTGGCCGGAGCTCTGCTGGAGCAAGCCGAGGGTCTGATCGACAGGGGCATCCATCCCATTCGTATCGCCGATGGCTTCGAGTTGGCCGCCCAGTGCGCCATCAAGCAGTTGGACGCGATCGCCCAGCCTTTCCCTGTGGACCCTAAGAACAAGGAGCCCCTGATCCAGATCGCCATGACCACGCTGGGCAGCAAGATCGTCAACAAGTGCCATCGTCAGATGGCCGAGATGGCCGTGGACGCCGTGCTGAATGTGGCCGACATCGAGAAGAAGGACGTGAACTTCGAGCTAATCAAGATCGAGACCAAAGTGGGCGGTCGCATGGAGGACTCGATGCTGGTGAAGGGTGTCATCGTTGACAAGACCCTCAGTCACTCGCAGATGCCCAAGGAGCTAAAGAACGTCAAGTTGGCCATCCTCACCTGCCCGTTCGAGCCCCCTAAGCCGAAGACCAAGCATAAGCTCGATGTGACCTCCGCGGAGGACTACAGGGCGCTGCGCGAATACGAGCAGGAGAAGTTCACGCAGATGGTGAAGCAGGTTAAGGATGCCGGCGCCACCCTGGCTATCTGCCAGTGGGGCTTCGACGACGAGGCCAACCATTTGCTGCTGCAGCAGGAGCTGCCTGCTGTGCGCTGGGTGGGAGGTCCTGAGATCGAGCTGATCGCCATCGCCACCGGTGGACGCATCGTGCCCCGTTTCGAGGAGCTCACGCCCGAGAAACTGGGTGTTGCCGGTCTCGTCAGGGAAATGGGTAAGTTGTACATAATTATCCTGTATGGTCATGGTTTTATTATTTCGTTTTTCTTTTTTTAGCTTTTGGCACCTCCAAGGACAAGATGCTGGTCATCGAGGAGTGCAAGAACTCCAAGGCCGTGACCATCTTCTTGCGTGGCGGCAACGCCATGATCATTGCCGAGGCCAAGCGCTCCATCCACGATGCCATCTGCGTTGTGCGTTCGCTGGTCAAGGACTCGCGTATTGTTTACGGCGGTGGAGCGGCTGAGATTAGCTGCTCGCTGGCGGTGGCCAAGGAGGCCGACCAGCTGTCCACCCTGGAGCAGTATGCCTTCCGCGCATTCTCCGTGGCTCTGGAGAGCATTCCGCTAGCCCTGGCTGAGAACAGCGGCCTGCATCCCATCGAGACGCTTTCGGAGCTGAAGGCCAGCCAGGTGGCTGAGAAGAAGCCTAGCTTGGGAGTGGACTGCATGCTGACGGGCGATTCGGACATGAAGAGCCACAATGTCGTGGAGTCGCTGCACTCGAAGAAGCAGCAGATCCTGCTCTCCACGCAGCTCGTCAAGATGATACTCAAGATCGACGACGTGCGCTCCAAGAACGAAGGCGGCATGTAGAGACACACTAACACCACACATCAGCTCCTTAATCAGATTCACATCCCTTCGCTTTGCTATCTCTCCACGAACAACGCCTCATCTCTATGTACATCTGTATTAATTGTTTACTTTTATTAATCCACAAGTTCTTTGGAAAAGAAGAAAATTACATTAAACAAGGGGCTATCCCTGGTTAAATACACTAAAACCAAACTAAGACATTGACTAGACTTTCTTGCCGTTGATTGTAGTAAGTTGTTTGCGGTTTAGCTGGTCGAAGAACAGCAATCCCGCGGAGCGTTCTACGCTTTCGGGTGGAACCTGGAACACGCTGATGGGTGTGTCGTTGCTGATCACTTGGTTGGGCATCACATAGGACTCCATGTGGAGTTTGTGGTCCGGTGATTCTCCGACAATCACCTTGTAAAAGTGGGTAGGAACTGCCACCGTGTTGGCACCGATGACCTCGTACTTCACATAGTTCTTGCCATCGTCCTCCTTGTGTGGCAGATAAAGGGGACCCGTGCAGACATACACATTGGAGTAGATCTTAGTCAACTTCCGCACGTGCGACTCCAGGGTGTTCCACGCATCGCGGTTGAAGCCCTGTCCCACTTGTGGCGCCATGTTGGACAGGAAGAAGGTCTCGTCACAGTGCTTCTGATGCAGGCGATGGTTCCCAGCGGCGGCCATGTGCCCGCGATCGTAGCCGGATCGCCGGTAGTCTGTATTCTGCGACCTAAAGAACGGGTGGATGCTTTCGTCCTGTCGGAAATCACACTTGGACCTGTCCACGGCATCATTCTTGGCCACCGACTCCGCCGTGAGGTGCTCGAACACCCAGTGCGGCACTCGGTTCCTCCGATCGTAGGACAGCACGTAGTCCGAGTGGGATCGCACATGATCCAAGCCAGGGAAGCCGTACTTCATGATCTGACCAATCCGCGAGGGTGTCGCCGCTAGACTCACATTCGATTCCTGGGCGGGAATTAAACTGGCCGCCGAAACCGTTCCAAAGGTGGGTAAGCCTGGCAGGCGGGGAAGGCTATTGTTGGATCCAAAGTTGCCGCGCTGTCGCTCCACGTGGGAGCCCAGGTAGAATGCTCCCAGGGCGGTGGCACTCAACGCTAGCACTCCTCCCACTCGTCGTCCACTCATCTTCGCCGTTTAATTTAAAAATATGGACAATAAGACAAATAACGACATCTGTTGCACAATTCAGGTACTTCAGTGTGACCAAGGGGTAAAAAAAGTTTTATAAAATACATGCTGAAAACATACCAAGTTGAACTGGCATTGACTTTCGAATTTTGATAACAAAAATAACGGTAAGTTTTAACCCAATTGTAACTCTAATTAATAAGTTTTAAATCACAAACTGTAATAAGTAAACCCAAGTGATTCTATAATGATTCAAACTTTACATTTACATTAAAATAAATATTTCAAGCAGATCGTTATAACGTTAATTTATATATTTGAAACCCAAAAGAATTTGTGAAACCGTTACAAATAATCATACATAATATCTTATAATGCATAATTGCAAAATCAATAACTATAATATTGCAAGCTATCTTAAATTCCAAGATCAGGGCGGTTCTAGTGCACTTGACTCTCCCTTTTTTACGTTCTCTTCTCCTCCATTCGCGGCTCAAAGCTTTTAAATCAGAGCTTCTATTCCAGTTCGTTGTGTTCTACCGAGGTTTTTTATTACGGGGTTATCGGTCTGGGTTGTTTACATTGGAACTGCAGCTGATTAGAGGCAATTCGAAATAGGGGATAAAGCTATACTGTTCAGTCGAAAGTGAAATCCATTCAGAGAGGATGCTGGACGTGGTGGCTCTACTTTTGGTCGCCCTGGCAGTGGGCTTTTGGTTTGTCCGCACGCGATTCAGTTACTGGACCCGTCGGGGAATTGGAAATGTCCCGGGTCGATTCCCCGTGGGCAATATGGATGGTTTTAGGAAGACAAAGCACTTCATCGAAATCGTAACACCTATATACGAAAAGTTCAAGAACAATGGAGCTCCCTTTGCTGGATTTTTCATGATGCTACGACCTGTGGTGTTGGTCACGGACTTGGAACTGGCTAAGCAGATTCTCATCCGTGACTTTGCCAACTTCGAGGATCGTGGCATGTACCATAACGAGCGTGATGATCCCTTAACCGGACACCTCTTCCGCATCGATGGACCCAAGTGGCGACCCTTGCGCCAGAAGATGTCCCCCACTTTCAGTTCCGCCAAGATGAAGTACATGTTTCCCACGGTTTGCGAGGTGGGCATGGAATTGGCACAGGTGTGCGGAGAATTGGCAGATAATGCCATGTGCAACATCCTGGAAATTAGTGATCTAATGGCGCGATATACCTCCGATGTGATAGGACGATGTGCCTTTGGTGTGCAGTGCAATGGGTTGCGAAATCCCGAGGCGGAGTTTGCTAAAATGGGAAGGAGAGCTTTTTTAGAGCGACGTCATTGCAAACTGATCGATGGATTCATTGAGAGCTTTCCTGACCTCGCTCGTCTGTTGCGCATGCGCCAAATCCACCAGGACATCACCGATTTCTATGTGGGCATTGTCCGGGAAACTGTGAGGCAACGGGAGGAGCAGGGCATCGTAAGGAACGACTTTATGAACCTGCTGATCGAAATGAAGCAGCGGGGTGAGCTCACCATCGAGGAAATGGCCGCCCAGGCTTTCATATTCTTTGTGGCGGGTTTCGATACCTCCGCCTCGACTTTGGGATTTGCCCTATACGAGTTGGCGAAACAACCAGACATTCAGGTGAAGTTACGCCAGGAAATCGAAGAGGCCTTGCAATTACATCAGGGAGAATTCACCTACGATTCCATGCAGGAGCTGCGCTACATGGAACTGGTCATTGCAGGTGGGTCTAAGTTAACACAGGTGCAGATCATAATTATATTTATATTTTACTAAACTTACTTCATTTTCAGAAACCCTTCGGAAATATCCCATACTACCACAGCTCACTCGGATCTCCAGGCACTTATATGCCGCTAAGGGCGATCGTCACTTTTATATCGAACCCGACCAGATGGTACTGATCCCGGTTTATGGGATCCATCATGATCCTGCCATTTATCCAGAGCCCCACAAGTTTATTCCCGAGCGGTTTTTGGCCGATGAACTTGCCCAGCGACCCACCGCCGCGTGGTTGCCCTTTGGAGATGGACCGCGGAATTGCATAGGAATGAGATTTGGCAAAATGCAGACGACCATCGGTCTGGTCAGCCTGCTCAGAAACTTTCACTTCAGCGTCTGTCCGAGAACTGACCCGAAAATCGAGTTTGTGAAGTCGAATATTCTGCTGTGCTCCGCAAATGGTATCTACCTAAAAGTCCAAGATGTAAGCCAACTAAGATGAGCAGTTCATTTTAAATGGATCTCGGTTCTATTGTATATTTTCAATTTATTATGTATGTATTATAATACATTTTTGTATCAATCTACGCAATAATTTGTACATTTTTGATTGAGAATGCCAGCTTTATAGGGGTCAGAGCTTTAATTATCTGAGAAAGTATACAAATTGATTCTGTTCTCTTCGTACCCGAAGCAATATAATTTCAGTTTATATTGTATCCAGACAGCAACAAATACAATCGAAATTATTATATGTATTTTCTGTTGCTTTTGTTTATCTGGTTGCGTAAAAACGAGATTATTTTTTGCACTATACTGTTTTATTTTATTTTCCCTCCCAAAGCGAATTCTTTTAATTTGATTGTTTGCTTAGTTAAAGAGAACTTGTGAGGATATGTTTACGTTGAGTACAAAACCTGAATGATTTTATCATAAGAGTAAGTCATAAGAGAGGAAGACGAAGCTTATAAGCGTTATAGTATCTCGCTTTGAACTCAGTTTAGTGCGAACCGCGAACGTAAAATGTTGTTTCTGTCGCTGATCGTGGTTTTAGTTTCGCTTCTTTTATTCGCCGCGCGACGACGTCATGGATATTGGCAGAGGCGGGGTATTCCCCACGATGTGCCACACCCACTCTACGGAAATATAAAGGACTGGCCAAAGAAGCAACACATTGCCAAGATATTCCAGGACTACTACTTAAGATACAAGGGTTCGGACTATCCCTTCGCTGGATTCTACTTTTTCTTCACCCGAACCGCTGTAATCACCGACTTGGAGTTGGTCAAAAGAGTCATGATCAAGGACTTTAATCACTTCGAGAACAGAGGTGTCTTTTACAACGAGATCGATGATCCCCTTTCGGCTACTCTGTTCTCAATTGAAGGTCAGAAGTGGCGACACTTGAGGCACAAACTTACGCCCACTTTTACATCCGGAAAAATGAAGCATATGTTCCCCATAGTCGTTAAAGTTGGAGAGGAAATGGAGAAGGTGTTCAGCGGTAAAATAGCTTTGGGGGAAGGTAGTGTTTTGGAGGTTGTGGATCTGGTGGCACGCTACACCGCTGATGTAATCGGAAATTGCGCCTTTGGTCTTAATTGCAATAGTTTATATAATCCGCAAGCTGATTTTGTAACAATGGGCAAACGGGCGATCGTGGAGCATCGCTATGGCAATATGCTGGATATATTTCTTTTCGGATTCCCCAAATTATCACGTCGCCTGCGTTTAAAACTGAACATCCAGGAAGCAGAGGACTTCTACACCAGAATCGTTAGGGAAACCATTGACTACCGACTGAAGTCCAAGGAGAAGCGAAATGACTTTATGGACAGTCTGATAGAAATGTATAAGAATGAGCAGGCTGGAAACTCGGAGGATGGTCTTACCTTCAATGAGCTGAGCACAGGCTTTCATTTTCTTTGTGGCTGGATTTGAGACGAGCTCCACGACCATGGGATTCGCACTTTATGAACTGGCTCAGAACCAGGATGTCCAGGACAAACTCAGGGAGGAGATAAAAAATGTTTTTGCCAAGCACAACAACGAGTTTACCTACGAGGGCATTAAAGAGATGAAGTACCTTGAACAGGTTGTTATGGGTAAGTTTTACTAGAACTAGTTTAATAGTTTTGCTAGTTTTGCATGGGTTGGTTTTAAGGGAAAAACCATATAAACAAAAAGTACTTAACGTAGTACCTCTTCAACTAGAAACACTTCGCAAGTACCCCGTTTTGGCGCATCTTACGAGAATGACTGAGTCGGACTTTTCGCCGGAGGATCCAAAGTACTTCATTGCCAAGGGCACAATTGTTGTGATTCCAGCTCTGGGTATTCACTACGATCCGGAAATCTATCCCGAACCGGAGAAGTTCAAGCCGGAACGTTTTACTGAAGAGGAAATCGCCGCCAGACCTTCTTGCACTTGGCTTCCATTCGGAGAAGGTCCCCGAAATTGCATTGGACTTCGATTTGGTCTAATGCAAACCTGCGTGGGATTGGCTTATCTTATCAAGGGATATAAGTTTAGTGTCGCCCCGGAGACACAAATCCCCATGAAGATTGTCGTCGGCAACATTCTAATCTCCGCCGAGAATGGAATCCATCTCAAAGTGGAGAAGGTGTGAAATAAGTTGAAAAAACATAATTGAATCAGTTTATTTAATGATTCGAATCCAATAATATAGTTAATAAAGAACAGCTTAGTATGCTCCAATACAAAGTGCAACAACAATTTTCTCTCTTTAACTTAATTATCGGTCATTAGTCTTATGAATTATATTGCTGTTCATTGTTGTACTTAATGACGTTTAAAGTCAATGACTTGTCATTCTAGTTTTGCTGCTAAGATTTTCTATTACTATCAAGGAATTATAAATACAGGTTGCGAAGGCAATATCGGTTATATTTGGCACACCGTATTTCATCAGCTGGTTCTTTATTTAGTAATTCATAGGTATAGTTAAATTCTTATTTCTACGACTGACCTATGAAAGACCATATCTAATCTATTACTATCAGAAATCTAATCTGCTAAGTACTTAGGTTTTTATTCTATTAGGTTTCCTAAACAATGTGGTTAATGATTAATGCAATTTTGCACGCTGGAATTCACCAGTATGAGCGATATTTAATTCGCATTAGTTAATATTTTTTTTTTATTTATAGTGATAATTGCTTTCCCAATGATCCCAACGATTGGTTAAGTGAGTAGGCAAAACAGTTTTACAAGTTTTTTTAGCAGATTCGATTGCGTCATCGGTTTTGTTTTGCTTATAAAAGAAACCCCATATGCAAAGCTATATTCAACTTGCCAAATGTTATGCTTGTTAAATTTTATAAAGTTAGCTAACTTTTGATAACATTGTACGCTTGTTGTACTTGTGTTACCAGACACCATGCGGCTTATTATTATCAAGCTGGAGGAAATCGGAGAGAGTTTAAAAAGAGATTAGAAGAGAACGTTTCCCCTATAAACGTCGCCCCAAAACGGAATTCAATTTCAGTTTGGAGCGGAACTCGGTCGCAGAATGTCGCTGCTTTTGTCGCTGATCGCGCTTTTGGTGTCGCTGATTTTATTCGTGGCCCGACGACGTCATGGATATTGGCAGAGGAGGGGGATTCCCCACGATGTGCCACACCCACTCTTCGGAAACATGGGAGACTGGCCCAAGAAGCGGCACATAGCGCAAATATTCAGGGACTATTACATGAAATACAAGGGATCGAACTTCCCATTCGCCGGACTTTACTTCTTCTTCACCCGAAGCGCTGTGATCACCGATTTGGAGTTGGTCAAGAGGGTGCTGATCAAGGACTTCAATCACTTTGAGAACAGGGGTATCTTCTGGAACGAGGTCGATGACCCACTCTCCGCCACTTTGTTCTCCATCGAAGGTCAGAAGTGGCGTCATCTGAGGCACAAGTTGACACCCACTTTCACGTCCGGAAAAATGAAGAACATGTTTCCTCTTGTTGTGAAGGTCGGGAAGGAATTGGAAGGTGTTTTCAGTGCTAAGACCACCGTGGGTCAGGGAAAGGTTCTTGAAGTCGTGGATTTGGTGGCACGCTACACCGCTGATGTAATCGGAAACTGTGCCTTTGGCCTCAATTGCAACAGCTTGCACAATCCTCAAGCCGATTTCGTGACCATTGGCAGACGGGCGATCATCGAACGTCGCTATGGAGGATGGCTGGATTTCCTCATTTTCGGTTTCCCCAAACTATCCCGCCGTTTGCACCTTAAGTTGAACGTCCAAGATGTGGAGGACTTTTATACTCGGATTGTAAGAGAAACCATTGACTACCGATTGAGGACCAAGGAGAAGCGAAACGATTTTATGGACAGTCTGATTGATATGTACCAAAAGGAACAATCCGGAAACACTGAGGACGGCATGTCCTTCAACGAGATTTTGGCCCAGGCATTTATTTTCTTTGTGGCTGGATTTGAAACGAGTTCTACGACCATGGGATTCGCACTTTATGAACTGGCCCAGAACCAGGAGGTCCAGGATAAAGTCCGCGAAGAGATAGCCAGTGTTTTGGCCAAGCACAATAATGAATTCACCTACGAAGGTATCAAGGAGATGAAATATCTGGAGCAGGTCGTCATGGGTAAGTACTTACTTTTATTGTCTATTGATTAGTTATTAATTCCTTTTCAACCCTCAGAAACCCTTCGCAAATATCCAGTTCTTGCGCATCTAACGAGAATAACTGACTCGGACTTTTCACCCGAAGATCCAAAGTACTTCATTGCCAAGGGCACTGTAGTTGTGATTCCCGCTCTGGGTATTCACTACGACCCAGATATCTATCCAGATCCGGAGCAGTTCAATCCGGAGCGATTCACAGAGGAAGCAATCGCAGCTAGACCTTCTTGCACCTGGCTTCCATTCGGAGAAGGTCCCCGAAATTGCATTGGTCTTCGATTCGGACTCATGCAAACCTGCATAGGATTGGCTTATCTCATCAAGGGATATAAGTTTAGTGTCGCCCCGGAGACACAAATTCCCATGAAGATTGTCGTTAAAAGCATACTTCTTTCTGCAGAGAATGGAATACATCTTAAAGTCGAGAAGCTTGCCAAGTGATTCTGTTGAGTCGCTGTTTACAATTATGTTAAAGTAGTATGTAATATGTAATGATATAAAATTTTGGTGTCAGTGTAGAAATATATCACCCGAAATTAGCAGTGAAAATGGGGTTTCAGTTTCTACTTCCGAAAGTCCAGGATTTCTATATGAACATTCTCAGGGATACTATAGATTATAGGGTGAAAATCAAGGTGACTCGAAACGATTTGATGGACTTGCTTATCAATATGAAACTACAGTACGATAATGGCGATAAGGCAAATGGCCTAACCTTCAATGAGGTTAGCACAGGCTTTTACATTCTTCTTGGCTGGTTTTGAAGAGGGCTTCTCGGCAATGGGGTTTACCCTTTATGAAAAGTTCATCTCGGAGCGTTTTGATGAGGAGCAGGTGAAAAAGAGACCCACCTGTGCTTTCCTGCCTTTTGAAGCTGGTCTCCGGAATTAAAGTTCGAGTTGCACCCCACGAAGACGCAATTTCCTCTCAAATACAAAATTTAGAACCTTCTGCTGAGCTCCTAAGGTGGTATTCACCTCAACATCAGTAAGATAGAGAGAAACTAATGGGATTTTAAAATGTTCTGTTTTACTTTAAATCTATACTGTTAGGTAAAAAACTAAGCTATTTATGTTTTAACAATTTTAATTTATGTATATATACCTAGTATTGTTGTTTAGTCTTGTTAATGTAGCTTTGATGTTAAGTACAAAGAGTTTATTTTCGTTTGCATAAATCAGTTATTACAATAATATGTAACTAAAGGTAATAACTAACCTGAAACCAAGAACTTTTAATTGTTATTTACAAATATATTCACATAAGTATATGTATATATAGTAACAGCATCCTCACCAAAAGTTATACAAAATTTGCTGTTACTTCAATACCATTCCATGAAAAACCATTAAACACGTTCAACTTTCAAGAAAATACCAGTATCACTCGATATTAAGAATGTTTTTTTGCTGTAAACCATGGGAATAGTTGTCTTCTCGCAGACGGAGAACTTAAAGTTCTTGATCAGAAAGGCCAATCCAATTCTAGTCTGCATTTGGCCAAACCGCATTCCAATGCAATTTCTAGGACCTTCGCCGAATGGAAGCCACTCTATGGAATCGCGTTCTTTCACACGATCCGCAGTAAAGTTGTCTGGATCGAATTTATCTGGGTTGGGATATAGCTTCTCATCGCGGTGCATGGCTCCGCAAGGAATCAATACAGGCATTCCCTTCTTAATCACGTACTTGGGATTATCGGGAACTACAAAGTCTTCGAGGCACTCTCGATTTAGAACTGGGAGAACAGTATACAGACGAAGGGTTTCTGGAAGAATTTAAAGGTTAGTGTGGACTCAATAACCACTTAACCATCACTCACCCGATATAACCTGGTCCAGATAGACAAGTTCCTTCATGCCTTCGTAGGTCAACTCCCCGTTGTACTTGCCAATCACCTCCTGGCACTCCTTCCTCACCCGATCCTGAATGTCCTGATGCTGGGCCAGTTCGTAAAGAGCAAATCCCATTGTGGTCGATGAGGTTTCGAAGCCAGCTCCGAAGAAAACAAAAGCCTGAGCTGCCATTTCCTCGATCGTGAGGTTAGCACTTTCCCCAGTTTCAGACTTGGTAAGTGGAGCATTTTTCAAATCGATTAACTGATCCATAAAGTCATTGCGACGGATGTTGTTCTGCTCCCTGAAAGCCACTGTTTCCCTGACGATGCGCAGGAAAAACTGTTCCGCTTCCTCGAGGTACAATTTCATATGGAGCCTTCGGGCCAGATTCGGGAAACTATTCATGAAGGCTATTAAAATCGGTCCGTGGCGCTGCTCAAAAACAGCTCGACGTCCCATCACCCGGAATTCCGCTTCGGGATCCTTGAGACTACTGCACTCGATGCCGAAGGCACAGGTTCCAATCACATCGGTGCCGAATCGGGCTAAAATATCCTTAACCTCGACGATTGGAGATTTCTCCATTGTCTGGCCAAAGACATCGATGAACTCGTGGCCCACCTTCACCACCGTGGGAAACATGTACTTCATTTTCCCGGACGTAAAAGTGGGCGAAAGCTTGTTCCTCATTGACTTCCACTTATGACCATCAAGTAGGAACAATTGGCCTGACAACGGATCATCCTCTGAGTTGTGATAGAATCCGCGGTCCGTGAACTTGTTGAACTCTTTAATGAGAACCAATTTAGCAAGGGAGGTGTCCAGAACCAGAACTCCGGGTTTTTGGAACCAGTAGAAGCCCGCAAAGGGACCAGTTCCACGGAACTTGTTGTAGTAGTCCATCCAGACATCGAAGAACGAGCGATTGGTTTGCACTCCCGTTAGACTTCCCATAAGGAAGTGGGGATCCTCGCAGGGAATGCCCAGATTCTGCCAGTATTGCAGGGCACGACGCAGTTTGAATAGGGGAGGGTGGTCCCATACCGACCGGCCGTACCATACCGACCCCCCATGTTTCTCAGAGATGGCGATGCTAGCCGAATTGTCGGTAACTTCAGTGAAAAGCTGTTATAACACAGACATTTTGGAGATAGATAGCCACTTTGACTTATTTTGTTTCACTGCAATTTTTCCGTTTGTTTTGTTTCAACGCCTGTGACATTTATTTTTGAGCTTTACTGAACTTGAGCTTAAATTTTTTTTCTCCGCATAAAAATCGGAGAGTAAATTTTTCTGATCGTTGATAGTCCTAGCTTTCACTCACATAATTAGAATTACATCGCTCTTTGCGTCTTTAGTTAATGCCGAGCAGTTAATCAGAAAAGGTCGTGGTGGTCCGAAACCGACCGCTAGGTGATGGTCCGAAACCGACCCCCATTTATTGGCAGCTTAATATGTCATAGCGTATTTTTGAGGAAAAATATGAAAAAGTAAACAAGATTCAGTAAAGAAAAGTAACAGAAACAGCAAAAACATCAGAAGACAGCGAAGAGACAGTCATCAGCGAGCGGCTTTCGAAAAACAACGCGAAAACAACGCGAAAACTTACTATGAGAAAGAGGACAACTCAGACTTCATCAATTGACTACAGTGCCCTTTATTTCATACATTAATTTTTATTTTCTGGAAAGAACCTTCAATATATTTCTTAATAAACGTCAAAATCATTAAATTCTATTTTATGTTATTAAATTTTTCTGTTAAGAAATAGGGGGTCGGTTTCGGACCACTACTTTTGAGTACGACCAAAAAGTAGAGTTTTATATTTGGCTGAATATCTAACGCTTCAAAGCACCTACGCACTTACTAATCATTTAGATGTATAGTAAACTGATCCCTCTACATAGTAAATTTTTGAACTGAACTGAAAAAGTGATTTTTCTCACCTTTATCGCCTTTGCCTTTTAGGGGGTCGGTATGGGACCACCCTCCCCTACTATATATCCCACCAGAACTACGAGTGCGGTCAGTAGATAAGCAAACACACCCATGACGTCAACTTGGGTGCGGTAGAAAATAGTTAGCGGTCGGGAAATGTGGTGCAGCCTAGACGAGTTCCATAAGCCCACTGAATTCTAAAAGCTCCACAAGATAGCTGAGCAATCTCACAACCCATAAATTTCTATTGCGTTTGATTGTTCTCAATCAAAATAATAAACACATTTCTTTATTACGATTGTTCTCTCTCTTTCATCATAGTGCCAAAAATTTCTCTTATGAAGAGAGTTTTTATATAAGAACTTTTTAAAAAGCTTCTTTTTGAATAACTTTTTATGCAGATTACAAGAGCCTACCCCAACATCTTTTAAGGAGGGTTAGGTTAAGAAAATAAATCTTTCTCTCTCTTAAAAATTTTGTGTATAAATTAGAGCAAGAACAAACCTTGTTTTGTTTACATTGTGCGATCATGCATAACAAAAATAAATATAGCAAACACATAAATGTATAAAGATAAAAATAATAAAAGCCACCCACGTCAAAAGATATATAAAGACGTCATAAAAACTGACTCAACCCAGTAGCTGAGCTTTTCGCATTGCTTTAATTAATTCTCACCGAAAAATCAAAAGTAACGGTGACTTGCTATTTATATATACATATATACCTATATATGGTATATAACAAGTTTATTAGTCTGTTAATGTTAAATGGAACATAATGGAACATGGAATGATAACAAAATAACAATTAAACATAATGTAAACTAAATTTGTAACCAATTAGGCATACATTTATCTTAAATGAATGTAAATCATTTCGTAAAAAGAAATTGTGACACATTTACGAACAAGGTGAAATTCTTTTCGAAAAAACTCAAGTCATACTTAGTAGTGAAAAATGTAAGGACAACAACAAAACAAGTGTTAAGAACAAACAGAAGAGAATAAATGACACATGTGCAAGATAGGCGCTTGTACTTTGGTACTCTTTATTGGCGCGAAGAGAGTCAGGTGACCGGAAAGCGGTAGACGAATCGGTTAAAAAGTCGGCTATAAAAAGCAGGTGCCTCCGTTCGGTTTATTCAGTTGTTTCGAAATGGCCGTTTTAATCGTTCTACTGCTCGGTGCCCTTACCCTCGCTGTGTGGTTTGTGCAACAGCGCTTTAGCTATTGGAAGCGCCGCGGCATTCCACATGATGCACCCACAATTCCATTCGGAAATACCAAAGAGCTAATGAAAACCGTGCAGATATCGGAGATATTCAAGCGAACCTACTTCAAGTACAAGAACAAGACCGATGGACCATTCGTCGGATTCTATATGTATTTCAAGCATATAGCTCTTGTAACCGACATTGATTTCGCGAAGACCGTTTTGATCCGCGACTTCGACAAGTTCCACGATCGCGGTATATTCCACAACGAGCGGGATGATCCGCTGACCAATAACCTGGTAAATATCGAGGGTCTTAAGTGGAAGACACTTCGTCAGAAACTGACGCCCACTTTCACATCTGGAAAAATGAAGAACATGTTCCCCACAATTCTGAATGTGGGAGATGATTTGATAAGGGTGTTCGGTGAGAAGGCCTCCGCCAGCAAGGATTCTCTGGAGATCACGGATCTATTGGCTCGATTCACAGCCGATGTAATAGGAACGTGTGCCTTTGGTTTGGAATGCCACAGTTTGTCGGATCCCAAGGCTGAGTTTGTTACAATGGGCACTTCTGCCATCACCGAGCGACGTTACGGAAAGTCCATGGATCTGATTCTCTTTGGAGCTCCCAAATTGGCAGCCAAACTGCGCATGAAGCAGAGTCCCCAGAAAGTCGAGGACTTCTACATGAAGATCATCAAGGATACAGTGGACTTTCGCGTGAAAAACAACGTGAAGCGAAATGATTTCATGGACATGCTGATCGAAATGAAGTTGAAGTACGAAAACGGAGACAAGCAAAATGGTCTAAGCTTCAATGAAATCGCTGCCCAGGCTTTTATATTCTTCCTGGCTGGTTTTGAAACCAGCTCCACAACCATGGGATTTGCCTTGTATGAATTGGCCTTGAATCAGGATATTCAGGACAAACTCAGAACGGAAATTGATAGTGTCCTTAAGAAGCACAATGGAAAACTGGACTATGACAGCATGAAGGAGATGAGCTATCTGGAAAAGGTGATCGATGGTGAGTTTCTCATTTAATTAAGTGAGTTACCCCAACTAAAGTGTTTTTTATATTCCTCCAGAAACCATGAGAAAACGTCCTGTAGTTGGTCACTTGATCCGTGTCGCCACTGAAAACTACGAGCACAGTAATCCCAAGTACAATATTGAGAAGGGCACTGGAGTTATAGTGCCCACCTGGGGCATTCATCACGATCCGGAGTTCTATCCGGAGCCGGAGAAGTTCATTCCGGAGCGATTCGATGAGGATCAGGTGCAACAGCGTCCGGCCTGTACTTTCCTGCCTTTTGGAGAGGGTCCCCGAAATTGTATTGGCCTTCGGTTTGGAAGGATGCAGGTCTTCGTTGGAATGGCCCTGCTCATCCACAACTTCAAGTTCGAAGTGCACCCCACCAAGACTGTCGTGCCAATGGAGTACAGAGCCGATGACATCCTGATGAGTTCGAAGGGCGGAATCCACTTGAAAGTCAGCCGGGTTGTTCGGCAATAAAGATAATTAAAAAGTAATTTGGCTTTAGTTGAAAAATCGTTAGAGGCTACAGCGCAGTTAGTTGAATAGATAGTATTTTAGACGATAACTAGCGTATTGTTTTTAATTGTACTCTCAGTTAATAAATAAGCTTTTGCTTTTGCTTGTTTGCCATGAGAAAGTGATTACTTTACTAACAATGAACTTGTGTTACATAAGTCAGGTTTTTTAATTGTCCTCATTAAGATTTTAGTGTAACATTGTTGCAAAAAGTTGACTAAGAAATAATTCAATAAAATTTTTGTTGGCTGTCTATTCTGGTTTGGAAAAATTAACATAATGACATCATCTGGTTCAACATGAGTTAATATAAATGTCGTTACACCTCACTTATTTAGATAGAATTTCCTGTTTGAAGTGATTGTAGATTGAATCTACTTATTTTAATCGACAAATTTTTGAAGCCTTAACTTTCGTTTTAAAATCTGTTTACGAGAGGTTTCCTCTAAAAATAAAAATTGATTTCCCGGAGTTTATATTTACAATTTGTATATTACATGGGTAACATGTGTACCTATAAATTTCAGGTTTTTATCCATTTACACATTTTGCTGAGTAATGCTTACTGTAGCCAAAAATAAAACCATAACGATGACTTGCAGTTTTGTCATCCCCAAAGAGTGGAAGAGTGAAAGTAAAAGGCAAAGAGAAAGAAAGAGTGCAGTTCAAATGTCCTCTATAAAGGATCATCAGTTGAAAATACCAATATTTAAATATTTATAATATTGTAGCAAATTAAACAACAATTATAAATAGTTCACGATGTGAATTAAGGCAAACATTTCCTTATACATATGTAGTTGAATTCAAGAAAAATAAGAAAGCATTTCTCTAGCCAGTTTGTAAACACAACATAACGGATAAGAGTCATTTCTCTTTACTTTGTTTCACAGATCACTCTGGATTACTCTTCATTCGATTTCTGTAAAGAGAATTCAAATCGGGTACAAAAGAGCAAACCGGCCGGCATTATAGAGAGTCTCTCTATATCTTAGCTTCTATTTATATAGCTCCCTGATGTTTTGTTTGTAAATAAACAAACCGTTATTACTCAACACTTAGTTACGGATACGTAACTTAATTTTATTAATGAAAAAACTTTTGAAAATGTAGTCTACATTCGGGCATTTTTTCAGAGCCAAGAGCTCTTATTTATTAGAACGAAAATAGGGCCTTTAAAGCTTTGGTAGTACAGCAATTACAACATTTAATTACCAGTAAATTACCAGCAATAATTACATAACAAATACATAAATAAGTTTAATCTCCACAGTAACACAAGTTTTTTTTGTGATATATACAATTATATTACACTCGTTCAACTTTAAGATAAATGCCTTTCTCGCTTGCCACAAGGAACATTTCTTTGTTGTATTTCATGGGAATCGTTGTCTGATCGCAGACAGAGAACTTGAATTCCTTGATAAGGAGGGCCAATCCAATCTTGGCCTGCATTTTACCAAACCGCATTCCAATGCAATTTCGAGGACCTTCGCCGAAGGGAAGCCACTCTATGGAATCTCTCTCCTTCACGCGCTCGGGTGAAAAGTTTTCCGGGTTAAAGGTGTCCGGATTGGGATACAGCTTCTCATCGCGATGCATGGCTCCGCTGGGCATCAGAACAGTCATTCCCTTCTTAATCACATACTTGGGATTATCGGGAACTACAAAGTCTTCCAGGCATACGCGGTTTAAAACGGGGAGAACAGTATACAGTCGAAGGGATTCTGCAAAATAAATAAAATTATAAGTAAAGTGGGTTTAGAATATTTCTTTTTTCAGTTACCAGAAATAACTTGATCAAGGTAGACCAAGTCCTTGACGCTTTCGTAGGTCAACTCTCCGTTATTTTTCTGGCAAATTTCCAGCACCTCCTTCCTCACCCGATCCTGAATATCCTGATGCTGGGCCAGTTCATAAAGGGTAAATCCCATGGTTGTCGAGGAGGTTTCAAAACCAGCCGCAAAGAACACAAAAGCCTGCGCCGCAATCTGCTCAATTGTTAGGTTGACATTCTCCCCAGTTTCGGATGCCATTAGTTGGTTGTTTTTCAAGTCAATCAACTGATCCATGAAGTCATTTCGTCGAATATTGTTTTGCTCCCTGAATGCCACTGTTTCCCTGACGATTCGCAGGAAGAACTCTTCGATGTGTTCCGCAGTGATTTTTATATGAAGGCGATGTGACAAATTGGGAAAGCTATTGGTAAACGCGACTGCAATGGGACTCAATCGCTCTTCAGTTAGTGCTCTACGACCCATTATCCGGAACTCGGCTTCGGGATCCTTCAAGCTACTGCATTCGATGCCGAAGCCACAGGTGCCAATCACATCGGTGGTAAATCGGGCCAACAGCTCCTTCACCTCAACAATTTCGTTCTTCTTTACATATTCACCGAACACATCGATGAACTCGTGACCCACTTTAATCACCGTGGGGAACATGAACTTCATTTTTCCCGATGTGAAAGTGGGCGTTAGCTTTTGGCGCATTGACTTCCACTTGTGCCCATCCAGTAGGAACAACTGACCAGACAATGGATCATCCTCGGGATTGTTGTAGAAGCCGCGATCCGTGAACTTGTTAAACTCCTTGATCAGGATCTGCTTAGCCAGGGAGGTTTCCAGGACAAACACAGCTGGTCGGCGGAACCAATAGAATCCAGCGAACGGTCCAGTTCCCCGGTACTTCTTGTAGGTGCTCGTCCAGATCTCGTGGAAGGATCGCTTGGTTCGGACTCCCTCCATGTTGCCCATCATGAAGTGCGGCTCATCGCAGGGAATTCCCAAATCCTGCCAATATCTCAAAGAGCTACGCCATTTCATCAAAAGGTAGCCGATTAACGCCAGAAACGCTGCCAACAGTACCGCTCCCACAGCCATGACTCACGTGGCTTGTAGGTATATATACGACTATTTTAATCAATTTGTTGCCGCGAACGCGAGTTATACCTCTGTAATACCCATTAAAAAGGAATTAGGGTTTCAATAGGCAATAAACCCATGAACAAAAAAAAAAATTTCTTAAGCTTAGACCAACTTAAACCTATCCCAACATTTTTTCTGATCAAGCTAGGTTACGAAACAAACATATAAACAATAATCCTTACTTTAAACTTTGACATTGATGTGATGCGTTATTACTCAGCACTTAGTTGCGGATACGTAACATTATTTAATTCGTGAAATAATTTGTGACTTTCGGGCATTTTTCGAGATTTTTAAGAACTAAATTTTGGAACCTGTAAAGGTCAGTAGCTAAACAATTACATCATTTAATTACCAGAAAATTACCAGCAATAATTACATAATAAACAAGTTTTATCTCCAAGTAGTACAAGTTTTTTTGTGATACAGGTACACATTTTTTTACACTCGTTCAACTTTAAGGTAAATTCCTTTATCGCTTGATATAAGGAACATTTCTTTGTCGTAAATCATCGGAATAGTTGTCTGATCGCAGACAGAAAACTTGAACTCCTTGATGAGGAGGGCCAATCCAATCCTAGTCTGCATTTGACCAAACCGCATTCCAATGCAATTTCTCGGACCATCTCCGAAGGGAAGCCACTCCACGGAATCTCTCTCCTTCACGCGTTCGGGTGAAAAGTTATCCGGGTTGAAGGTGTCTGGATTGGGATATAGCTTCTCATCGCGATGCATGGCTCCGCAGGGAATCAGGATAGGCATTCCCTTCTTAATCACATACTTGGGATTATCGGGAACCACAAAATCTTCCAGACATTCGCGATTCAAAACTGGGAGAACTGTGTACAAACGAAGGGTTTCTGCAAAGGAAATTATTAGTAAACTAGAAATTATAAATTATTTCTATTTTAGTTACCAGAAATCACTTGATCAAGGTAGACCAGATCCTTGACGCTTTCGTAGCTCAACTCTCCGTTGTTTTTCTGGCAGATCTCCAGGATCTCCTTCCGCATGCGATCCTGAACGTCCTGATGCTGAGCGAGTTCATATAGGGCAAATCCCATGGTGGTCGAGGAGGTTTCGAAACCAGCCGCAAAGAACACAAAAGCCTGGGCTGCAATCTGCTCAATGGTTAGGTTAACATTCTCCCCAGTTTCGGATGTCATTAGTTGGTTGTTTTTCAAATCAATCAACTGGTCCATGAAGTCATTTCGTCGTACATTGTTTTGCTCCCTAAATGCCACTGTTTCCCTGACGATTCGCATGAAGAACTTTTCGATGGGTTCCGCTGTCATTTTCATATGAAGGCGACGTGCCAAATTGGGAAAGCTGTTGACAAAACCGATTCCTATGGCACCAAGTCGCTGTTCAGTTAGGGATCTTCGACCCATTACCCGGAACTCGGCTTCGGGATCCTTTAAACTACTGCATTCGATTCCAAAGGCACAGGTGCCAATCACATCGGTGGTAAATCGGGCCAACAGCTCCTTCACCTCCACAATTTCGTTCTTTTTCACATATTCACCGAAGACATCGGTGAACTCGTGACCCACTTTTATCACCGTGGGGAACATGTACTTCATTTTTCCCGATGTGAATGTGGGCGTTAGCTTTTGACGCATTGATTTCCACTTGTGACCGTCCAACAAGAACAATTGACCAGACAGTGGATCATCTTCGGGATTGTTGAAGAAGCCGCGATCCGTAAACTTGTTGAAGTCCTTGATCAGGATCTGCTTAGCCAGGGAGGTTTCCAGGACAAAAACAGCCGGTCGGCGGAACCAATAGAATCCCGCAAAGGGTCCAGTTCCCCGGAACTTCTTGTAGGTGCTCGTCCAGATCTCGTTGAAGGACCGCTTTGTTTTGACTCCCTTCATGCTGCCCATCATGATGTGCGGCTCATCGCAGGGAATGCCCAAGTCCTGCCAGTATCTCATGGTGCTACGCCATTTCGCCAGGAGGTAGCCAAGTAACGCCAGAAAGGCTGTCAATAGTACGGTTCCCACAGCCATGACTCACGGGTTGTATATTTATAGGACTTTTTTTATCAACTTGTAGCCGCGATCGTTTGCAAACTTGTTGAATGTTTTCCACTAACTGAAACTGGTAAAGCTTTACTCGTGCTTTTTAATAGCTCGAATCAATAGTTGCCAGTCATTGTGACCAACAAACCGATTGTCAACAATCTCAGTGGTCGTACTTATCGCAAGAATTTTGCAAGTACAATGTGATTAACATTTTGATAAGTTAGTATTCAGTGCACGTATCGATTCTAAAGTACCTGTTAATACGATCTTTCTAAGGTACAACATGTAAATGTTAAAAAGTGTTATTGATTTTTAACCAGCCAATTATACCCCTGTGATACCATTAAAGAGGGAACCCTAATTCAATTGGCAATAAACCCATAAACAAAAAATGTTGCTATTGTCCAGTTCAACTTAAACCTATCCCAACAAATTTATCTTCAAGCTAGGTTATGGGACAAACAAATAAACAACTATCTTTATTATACTTTAAACTTTGGCATTGATGCGATGGCTTGTGAACTTATTTTTAGATGGCCTCCAGCTTGAGATAGAGTCCTTCCTTAATACCGAGTACAAATGACTTTGGATCGTAGACCAGAGGGTTTGGGGTTTTCGAGCAGGTGGAGAACTTAAAGTTCTTGATGAGCTGGGCAAGTCCGATTCGGGCCTGCATCTGTCCGAATCTCAGGCCAATGCAGTTGCGAGGACCATCGCCGAAGGGCAAAAAGGCAACTGAAGGACGTCCGGCAGATTCTTCGGGGGAGAATCGATCAGGACGGAACTCGTAGGGTTCCGGATAAATGCTGGGATCGTGGTGGATAGCTGATGAGGGAATCATGACCGATTGACCAGCCTCGATGACAAACTTGGGATTTCCGGGAACCACGTAACGCTTTGCGGCCTTGCGATCCAAATTGGGTACAATGGTGTAGAGTCTTAGGGTTTCTAGAAGGGTAAACACAATTTAATAGGTTTTCTTGAATTTGTATCTTTGTAAACCTACCATTTATAACCTGGTTGAGATACTTAAGATCCTTGGTGCACTCATAGGAAAACTCCTGATCATATCGCTCCAGAACCTCCTCGATCTCAGCTCTTACCTTGTCCTGAATATGCGGATTCTTGGCCAGTTCGTAGAGAGCGTATCCCATGGTGGAAGAGGATGTCTCAAAGCCGGCAATGAAGAACACAAAGGCCTGGGCCAGGACTTCCTCGATGGTCAATCCCTTGACCACTTCGCCATTCTCCAGAGTCATTTCCTTCTGGTTTTTCAATTCGATGAGCATGTCCATGAAGTCGTTCCGCTTGATGTTCTCCTTTTCCCGCACCGCCACAGTTTCCCTGACGATCCTTTCGTAGAAGTCCGTGATGTGCTGGGCCGTTCGCACCATTCGCAGTTTCCTGGCCAATTGGGGATAGCTACGAATGAATCCGTTCAGGAATAAGCCATGTCGCTTCTCCACCAAAGATCGCTTGCCAAAGTGCAGGAACTCTGCTTTCTCATCCCGTAAACTGTTGCATTTGATGCCAAAGGCACAAGTTCCAATCACATCCACCGTAAATCTGGCAACCAGATCGCGAATGTCCAGAACGGGGTCCTTCGACACCTTCTCGTGCATTACACTCATGAATTCGTTGGCTACGGAAACAACTGTGGGATACATGTACTTCATTTTGCCCGAGGTGAAGGTCGAGGAGAGTTTGTTCCTCAGCAATCGCCACTGCGGACCATCTAAGTTAAAAAGATGAGCCGAAATGGGATCATCCTTTTCGTTGTAGAACATTCCCTTGTCCGAGAAGTTGGAGAAGTCCTTGATGAGCACATGCTTGGCCAGGTCAAGATCGAGGACAAATGCCACGGGATTTTGGAATAGATAGAATCCCACGAAGGGGGCTTTGCTCTCCCGGAATTTGTCGTAGTGATCCTGGAGAACTTGATGAAAGTTCTTAGTTTTCTGCAGCTCCGCTATGTTTCCCTTGATCGGATGGGGTTGCTCGAAAGGAATTCCCCGTCGCTTGAAGTACGTCAGTTTTCGGTGGAGATAGTAAGTTACGATCGCCAGAAGGGCCACCGCCACTTGGAAGAGGAGGTATGTTAAAGCCATGCTGCTACTGATGCTGTTCGGTTACGACTGATTCGAAAAACAAACGACGAACTGCTTTTAAACGGTCGAAACTTACCCACTTAGCATGACGAGGCATTCTCGATCCAAGACGCACGGAAAGTAAAAGTTAATCTCACGCTGTGTTTACGTTTTACCGGCCATTGTGAGCCAGCAAGAATCGTACACTGAAGTTGAGTCGGTGAAGATAACGAAGCAGGAAAAGTTTTAATAAAACTAATTAGAATAAACACTCTACAAACATTTGATAATAACAATGTTACCAGTGGGAATTATCCGATTGTTACTGTACTAGATGTCTTATCACTTATCACGTTTACGCATATCAGAATTTGTCTGAAAAGTGTCTGCTTATTCACCGTTGTGCGGTTACGATTGTTATATTATTTTTAAATGGAAGAGTCACACCTAGAATTGTCTATGGCCACCTATTCCTTGTTGTCAACAAAACTAACCTACCATAACTATGACTTGCATGTGCTTACTCTTTGGCAATTGTATTCTTCTTCTTATTTGTATTCGTCAGATAAGAGATACAAACCAACCTTGAAGATCTTTAAGATGATTTGGTGTGACCAATAGGGTTCGAATTAAATTAATGTTACCAATCACTGAACTTAAAGAAACTTAAATAAATTAAAGTAAAATTCATTGGTCTATAAAACCTTTCATTACAAATTATGGAATTTTAACCATAATGAAATTCTAATGAAAAAACTTATTTTCTCATCATAAAATTACTATTGAAAATATTTTTATTAAGTTATTGCTTATAGCTTGTTTCTACTGTACAACGACGAGCCCTCGCTTATCAATTTGCTTGAAGAGTCAAATTAATTCTCGCTGAATAACGTCATATAACTCGGGGGCTACTTTATGAGCAGCAGTCCATGTTCGATCGGTGACGGAACATGATATGGGTATTAGCCACTTTGATTTTTGACAGATCTGGCAACGACATTGTTTACCTTTTCGGTCATATTTGTTTGACAGTTGATTAGATTTCGAGTGCGGATGTTGCCAACAAAAAATAACAACAACAACAAAAACCAATTAAACCTGGTAGCTTTTTGATATTTTATTTATTTTGGCTCTATTTCAGCTTTGTGGAGTGAGCTTTTCTTTTGTCCACTTTTTTGTTTGTTATCTGGGTATTTAAATGTTAATTGGGCGTAAAACTTATCGTTTGGGTTAGAAAAGCACTTGTAGAAAAAGCGAAAGTGTTCTTTATTATAAGTTCGTGGCTTCTATAAATTTTTTTGATTAGATAGTAAATGATTTTAGGGCCTTTTGTTAATTGAGAAATTCCCAAAAACAACCCAACAAAGAAGTTTAGTATGCTGCCTGAAAATTTGATAAACGAAAATAAACTTTGTTGATAAGAGTTCTGGATCAGCCAAGGTGAATACATTAACTTCCTACAAAAGAAGGTTAGTAAGTGATTAAAAGTTTAAAAAAATTTCCCAAAGTAATAAGACAAAAAGTTAGTTTATTGTTATATATTTTTCCCATTTGCTTTTCGTGTTACATTTATTGGCATTTACTTTTCCTGTTTGCCTTTCGTTTAACAATTGATGTTTAGTAAATGTTTATGGCACCCTTATCATATCTCTTGTTTATTTAGTTTTCGTAAGCCGCATAAACAGGTCTTCTGTGAATGTCTGCTGGTGCCACCAACATCGAATATGAGGCAATAATAATCGTATGTCCGTCTGGCCTCAGTTGGACGCCCACGAGTTCCAGTGTAGCGCACTTGAAAAGCAAAAAAGCAAAAAGCAAAAAAAGCAAAAAGCGGTTAAGAAGCAAATTAAAAGCTCGCACCTGAATCGCGGAGCGAGTAAATCGTGAATAGTTACTTTTCTCCGCAGTGTACGCTCAGTTCTCAGTTCCCATTTTCAGTTTCAGTCGAATCGCGTAACCCGTCGAGAACGCCGAGAACGCTCCGCAGCGATGATGCATTAGATCATAGTTCATCGAAAGCGGAACAGAGAGCTATATAGTGGCTCTAAGTGAGAGTGAAAGGGTGGCAAGATAGCTGGTGGGCAGGAAGTGGAAGTCCACCCTCCCCACAAAAAACCCCGCGAAAATCGCAGTGATTTCGTTAGCCACATTTACGTGTGTTCATGTGATTCGACGGAGTAAATAGAAAATCAGAAAAGCACAAGTGAAATGCAAAACATGTGGATCATTTTCCTGATCATCGGACTTCTGGTGCTCGGGCTGCTGGTTCTGCTAATTATCGCGGCGCGATATCAACGCGACTATTGGCGCTATCTGAACATTCCGCACGAGAGGCCGAAAAAGCTATGGCCTATCATTAGGCAAATAATGACGCAGACTTTGAGCACGGAGGCGATGAAGGCGAATCATTACTCTGCCATATACAAAAAGTTCAAGGGCAGCGGTCCCTTCTGCGGATTCTACGCTCTGCTGCAGCCGCGAGCTTTGATCCTCGATCGGGAGCTGATCAGGCAGATAATGATCAAGGATTTCTGGAACTTCAACGATCGTGGGTTGTACTGCAACCAGAAATCGGATCCGTTGTCGGGGGATCTTTATGCTTTGAGAGGGGAGAGCTGGAAGGAGATGCGCAGGAAGTTGGATCCCAGTTTGGAGGGCGATCGCATGTCCTGGTTGTTCGGTTGTCTCTACGAGGAAGCTGCAGAACTCCTTCTGAATGTTAGTTCGACTCTAATGAAGCAACCCCATTCCACGGTTCATATCCAGAAGATCATGAGGCGTTATGTCTTGTCTTCCCTGGCTAAATGTGTTTTTGGTTTGGATGCCGAGCAGAGGAAAACATTTCCCTTGGACGACTTTGAGCAGATGACGGAGATGGCTTTGAATAGCCATAAACATGGTTACCTCATGAACCTGATGATGATACGCTTTCCGAACTTTTGTCGAATGCTGCGCATGCGTCAAACGCCCAAACAGGCGGAGGAATATTTCACCAAACTCCTGGTGAAAATTGTGGAGCAAAGAGAAGCCTCAGGAGTTCGTCGCCAGGACTATTTGCAGTTGCTAATGGAGGTTAAGGCATTGGAATTGATCACCCACCAATACGAATCGGATAAGGAGTTGGGCTTGCATCTGCAAAACGAGTTGGCAGCCCATGCAGTTGTCTTTTTGAAGGCAGGATATGAACAAACGGCAAATACTCTATCCTATATGCTATATGAACTAGCCTTGCATCCCGAATTGCAAATTCGAGTGAGGGAGGAGGTTAACAAAGCTATTGAACGCAATGAGGGGAACATCAACTACGAGTGCATTCAGTCGCTGAATTTCATGGGTCAGGTAATCAATGAAACCCTGAGAATGCATCCCATAACTCCTTACATCCTGCGACGCACTTTAAATGATTACGCGGTTCCGGATCATCCGAAGTACATCTTGGTCAAGGAACTGTTCCTCATCATTCCCACCCACGCAATCCACCACGATCCGGATATCTATCCGGAACCGGAGAAATTCAAACCAGATCGATGGGGTGGACCAAGAGATTCCCTGCAGGAACAAGGCACCTGGTTTGGATTCGGAGTGGGAGCTAGAAGTTGCATAGGAATACAGTTCGCACAGCTGCAACTGCGATTGGCATTGGCCATTCTACTTTCCGAATACGAATTCAGTTTGAGCACCAGACAACCTCTGGTGAATCTGGAGGATGGCATTGCGCTAACCCTGATGCCATTGGGAGTTATAGAGCCAGGAAACGAGGAGAGGGCGGTATGAAATGGAGATCAGAACTGACATATGATTAATCTCTGGGAGAGAAGAAATATATTATCAATTACATCATCTCTGATTTCAAGTAAAAAGTGCCACTGAAGCAAATAATTATTACCAAAAGTTGTTAATTACTTCGTTTAAAATTGAGAAATAGTTTCACCATTTCGGATATACAAAAATTCATAAAAATTGAGAAGTTACTTCCTTAAATTAATTGATTTTAGTTCACTTAAAAAGTTTCCTGTTTCTACTTAATATGGAAAGTGTTTAAAGATTGAAGCAACTCATTTGCGTATGAAAAATGTCAAGATGAGTAAGAGATAAAACTTATGTCAGTATCTAAATCTCCAGCCTTAACTTAATGACGAAGAATTTACTCGACGAACAAAGTCTAGAAAGCAATATAAAACTCAGTATGGCAACTAACCAAATAAATTATAATAACTAAAGGTCGTGTAACCGCATAGGCAAAGTCAAATTAGAATAGTTATATAATGTTAAACACAAGTTCTTTATTTAAGAATTTATTTATTTCGAAAAAACATTTCTTTTAAAATAGCTTGTTTAACTTCTATTAAATACACCGAGTCCTCCTAGGGATGAACCTTTGATTTGTTAAGATATTTGTCAATTTGATTCATTGTTTGTTACTTTTGAGGTTAGTATATATTTTAAATCGTTTGTTGCATTGTCGATTGCTGATATGGTTGGATTGTCGGCTACTTCCGATTCGGTAGCTCAGGCCTGTGTGCAGTTGCTTAAGTTACCATAATTGCAAGAGTTGATCGTAGTGTTTCAGATACATTAAATATCAGATATATTATTAAAGAGTCTGTTGCTTTCGTTGGTTAATAAGATCGAAACTAGAGTTACATACATTAGACACTAGCACTAAAATTAGATTTACAAATAAATAAAACGTACGACAAACGAACTCTAATATACAAATGTAAGTGTAAGTGAGCTGCCTTTGTGCTTTCCTCCTCTGCGGACTGTGGAATGTTTTTTGGGAAACTCTCTCCGCGAAATGCTAATTTAGAACTTAGACACTATCTGTTTGTTTTTGTTTGTTCGTCTCGATTGGCCGCTAATACCGCTAAAAATGGCTACGAATCTACTGCGATGGCTGGCGCTTGTGGCGCTGTGGCGAAATCAGGGAGCTCCTCATCGGATCCCCTCGGTTGGGCAGCTTGCTCCGGAGCATCTGCTCGTGCACGTAGATCAGCAGACCCACGTCCCGGTGGCCAGCCTGCCAGGCGATCTTGAAGGCCGTGCTGCCGTCCTGCGGGGAAACCAAATCGTTAATATCATCATAGATTTGATTTAACAAAAAAAATAAAAATTATTTTTAAACCAAATAAAAGCAATTGAAAGCCCATAACTTTGCTAAATGATGTCCGATTTTGGATTGGAATACCTCAAAATGCTTCTAAAATAGTCCTCTTAGAACTGCATACTGCATAAGTTTTTTACATTTTTATGATGTGATGAAGTTAAGGAACTTAAGTGTACGTTTGTCCGTCGGTCTATGTAAACTTGTCTCTCAGTTTTATAGCTATCTTTCTGAAACCTTACCAAAACTCGTATAGTTTTTGCACGCAGTATGTTGTACTCACCACATCGTTGATCAGGGAATCGCAGTCGGGATGCGAGAGCAGGTGCTTGATCACATCCACGCGTCCGTGCTCGGCGGCGCACATGAGCGCGGTGCTGCCGTCCTCGTCCTGGATGTTGATGTCCGCGCCGGCGTCCAGGAGCATGTTGACCATGTCGCCGTTACCATGCGACACAGCGAGCATCAAGGCGGTCTGGCAGTGCTGCAAGTGTGGCAAGAACGGAGGGGTGTGGTTAGTAGGGGAGTTACGGAAGTGGAGGTCAGCTTTTTAGGGGGTCAAAGGTCAGTGGGCGGTGGTGGGCCCCTTACCTACCTTCTTGGCCCGTATGTTGACATCGGCCATCTTGAACAGTCGCTCGACGACTGTGCGATGGGATGGTTGCTTCAACTTGGCCAACGACACGAGCATCACCGACGTGTATCCGGCGTTATTCATCTGGTTTACGTCGCAAACCTTAGAATCCAGCAGAATGGATACCACATCGAAGTTGCCGTGCGAGACTGCATAATGCATGGCTGTGTTGCCCTGAAAAACGTTATAATATTTAGTGATTTAAGTTGATTTCAGTTGATAGTTGTTAGAAACCTACATTGGTGTCGGAGAGGTTAACACAATACTCCAGCAGAGGCACCGACAGAGACTCAAAGTAATCGAGATAGTCCTCCACCTGGTGGGGATCGGATTTCCCCGTGCTGGAGTTCATGAACCAGTGATCCTGGATGGTGGCCTTGGCCGACTTAAGGCTCTGCGAGGATATGGGCTTGGCGCCCAACTTCTTCAGCAGCGAGTCGTTGATGAGCTTGAGGGCATCTTTCAGACCCTTGGACAGCTCAGTTCTGAAAGGAAATTAAAATAGTAATAAAATAAAAGCCAACAATATACATTTTACACAGAAAACTTAAGCAGCTTGTAAACTGTTACACGTGCCCCATTTTTCTGTGCTTCCATCTCGCATTAATTTAAATGGCCATTAAACAAGACTTAAACTTTGTAATTTGCATAGCAGAAATATGAATGTAAAATAAGCATTAAATCACGTTTTAATGCCCTAGCAGAGACTGCTATAATTTTGTTCAGAAAATACATAGAAAAGATTGAAAACCCAATACATAAAGTATGGTATAAATTATAGACTCTAAATTACGAACTACTTTTTTGAAAATAATAGGAAAGTTGACATGGCTTGGTTGGTTTAATAAGATTTAAATGCATTGGCATTAAAACATTTGTTTGCTACCTTTTAGTTGTCAAATGAAAAGGGTTCTACTCACTTCTTTCGGGGTTCCGCATCCGCCTGGGCCAACTGGTGGAGCTGGGCCTTGGTGGCCGGCTGCTCGATGACGGTCACCTGGGAGCCCTCGCTCTGACTAGATTTCAATGGGGTGCTGGACTTCTTGCGAGCTCCCTGGGCGATCTGCACATCGATGGGCGGACTGGAGTCGCTGGAGGAGCTCATCGGTGGCTCCTCCTCCGGCGACTCGGACTTGGTGGTGCCCGAAGAGGTCATCAGTGGGGCGGGAGAGGCATCCCGCGACCAGCTGATGCTCACCCGCTTCTCCTCCCGCACAATCAGCTCATCATCGCCCAAAAGGCTGAGGTCCAGCAAATCCTTCTTCGGCTGGCGAATAAAGCTCTGCGACTCCGCCAAAGGATCCGCCACCTGGAAACTGGACACAGTGGGGGGCTTCTCCTGCAGCGAGCTGAAAAGGAATAACCTTGATGAGTTTTACAGTTCATAGCAGAGGTTTTAAACCCACGTTACGAGCAGGGCCGAGCATCCGCTGACCAGCAGCGGGTAGCACGTGAAGCTGCTCAGGCTGGAGAACATTGGCAGCACCATGCGGAAACCAAAATCCAAACAAAAAACAAAAAGAAGCGGCTCAGAAGCAATTGGGCCAAAGCGAAACCCCAAACTCAACTGAAGGTCAACTCATTGCGAATTCAGGCTATGGATTTTTTGAACTCAATGCGCAGGAGCCAACATGTGGTTGGCGTCTCGGCTAAAAGCTTTTGGTGAAACTTGGCTAGCACAGTGGAACGAAATAGGTTCAATGTAATAAATTTTGTAATAAAATTAAATAGAGTAAATATGACAATATTTAATATTTAACATTTACTGCTCTAATTTCTAAATATTTTAAAATTGTTGGAATCAAAGGATATGCACTTGAAAAGTAAAAAGTCAATAAACTCTATGGATTCTGAACGTTTTCCATCTTATGAGGTTCCCCTAATGTCATATTTTTTAAGGACTCACCTCAATCGCGCCTTCCTCTCCACCTGAGGACTTGGAGTTGGCGAAGGAGTGGCCAGTGTGTAGGTGTTCTGCCTCTTAAACTCTTTCCGAACCGGACTCGGGCTGGTGAGGTGTTTGGGCCGTGGGATCCTCGAGTCCGCCGAAGTGGACCGTCGAACTGCTCCTCCCGTTCGGGAGGCGGTGGGACTCGTCTTGGAGAATCCCCTGGCCAGGTCCTGGATGGCCTCCTTGCAGGAATCACAGTAGTTGGCCGCGCAGGCGATCGAGATGTGCGGCTTTACGATATCACCGCATCCCACGTCCCTTTTGCGAACCTCCTCCGTGTTGCACGAGGAATGGGTGGTGCGCACTTTAACCGGCACCGGAACCGGTGGCTCCTCCACCTTATCCGTATTGCTGGCCGAGTGGCGGGTTTGGGGGCGTGGCACCGACTCGGCCACCTGCTCCGCCTTCGTGTGGCTCCGGGTGAGTCGCTGCAGACCAACGGTGTCCGTTTGCCGGGTCACCTGCTCGGTGCCGCACTGAACGCCGGAGTGCTGCTGCTGGGGATTCACCTGAGCTCCGGTGGAGCGAACCACGGTGGTGGTGGTCTGACTTCCAGCACTGAGCACCAGGGTGACCGGCGTCTGGCAGCCAATGGTCTTCCGAATCACGGAAACCGCCTCATTTTCTCCCAAGCTAAAGGTGTTGCTGCGTCCCGGCATTTGGGGAGCTGGTTTCACCTTCTCCGGCGGACTTTCCGGACCGCAGGCCACGCTTCTCTTGCTGACGGCACACTTTTCGCAAAGGACATCATCCAGGCGATCCTCAGAGCATCCCACATGGCGCACATCCGGTTTGCAGCTGGTGAAGTTCTCCCTCGTTGCTGGTTTCGCTGTGATTCCCACATTGTATTTCAGTTTGGGTCGCTCCGGCTGGGTTTGCACTCCACTGTCGCGCTGCTCCCTTTGTGGCACGTACATCTGGGTGCCCACCGAGATGAGCTTCCTCAGCTGCTGCCTTTGGGCGTTGTCCAGTGCCTGCTCCACCTTCTTTTCCAGCTCCTCCTTGGAGTAAACGGTTTCCGAGGGATTGACTCCCGTATTCCGAGTGGTTGGCTGGTGGCCAACGGAAACATCTCGCGTGGCAGGTGGTCGCACCACCGCCTGGGTGGAGACATCCCTACGGACGACACTCGGGGAGGGAGATGCCGAGGCGGAGCTGCTGCGAATCCGTGCTCCCAGGCTCTCCAGGGAAACTGGACTGATCCTTTGGGGAGTGAACTGCACGGGAGAGGCGGTCTTGAGACCAGGACTCGGTGGCGAAGGCGTCTGTCTTTGACTGCGAAGGAGCTCCTCGTTCCTGCGCTGCAATTTCTCCTTTTCCGAACGCAGCGAATCGATTTCCAGCTGAAAAGAAGATAAAGAAGAAGAAGTATTACAATAAAAAGTATAAATAAATAAAATTAAAGTAAGTTAACTTTATATCTTATTTTATTCTTGAAATCAACAATAAGTCCGTTTTATTTTTCTTATCATTATTTTTTCTACCATTTTTTTAGTTATGAAACTAAATACTAAATTATTAAACAAAGAAGTGTTATCTATTGTTAAAAGACATATTCATAGTGATCCGGCTTTAAATCAGTATGATTCTAGATCTTTTAGGGTATTCTTTGCACTCACCTTCAGGCCGGGAATGACCATCACCTGCTCCTCGAGATCCTTGAGTCTCCCTAGGCTCTTGGCCATCTGCTCGCGGATCTGGACGAGAGCCTGAGCATCGGAGATGGCTTGGCCAGTTTCGGAGACGACGGGCGACTGCAGGGAGCTGCTGCTCATGGATCCATTCTCCGGCTGGCGCACCTCCTCCTTGGAAGTCAGAGTGGTGGTGGTGGTCAACAGGTGGTGGCGCCTCGGCGGCGGCGGTGGAGGATCTCCCGGCGACTTGGCGGACTCCAGCTGCTCCACCGGCGACTTGGCATTGGCTGCCACGGTGGCCTTGACATAGCTCTCATATTGCACCTCCGCGGGACTCGGTCGTTGTTGCAACGGCAGCGTATTGGATCGCAAGAAGGGGCGTGGCGTTCCCGTGGGCGATCGATTGCCACCGATGCAGGAATCTAAAGAGAGTAACAGATACCATAATTAACTAACGATCTTGGCTGGTGGATATACAGATTACTTGGTCTGCCATTGGCCCTCGTAAGTACAATCTTTATCTGCAGACTTGCCATGAGCTCTTGCCGCCGGCGACTGGACTCAAAATACTCACGAAAATATTGCAAGAAAGGTCCCATGCAAAAAATGATAAAAGCGGTTGCTCCTCGAATCTAATTTTAATAATTGTGCCAAAGTTCGTATAATGTGAACACAAAAAAAATGTATACATATGTACCTATATCTAACATATATTGTATTTAATGCAGGCGAAGTAAAAGGCAAAAGCAGCTTGATTTCTTTTCTGTGAGTGTGCGTGAGCGAAAATTTGTGTCCCCAGATAAGAGACTCTCGACTCGGGTTATTATTCAATATTAGTTTTTGTTTATCGCCGCGGCACACATACGTATTTATATTACCTTTTATTTACATAAGAGACAAGGTTATTGGCGTGTTTTACTCGACGCAAAAGCAAAACGTGCAGACTCTTGTTGGTGGGTAAATTTATAGATATTTATGAACAGCTGAAAGATCAAGCTTCTATTTTTATGCTCTTGCATTTGTCCAATATTCCTCATACGCACTGTGCGCCCCGTCAACTACAATTTGTTACTCATCTCGCGCTGTCCGCCCTGCCAAGATTATTCTTTTTTTTTGCTGTTCTCATCCATTTGCCGCCCACTTTTTTGTTATTACTTAATGGCTATGTGCAACGAACTCTGCGACTAGCAGCCTTTCTATTATTTAAGCTGCACGGAAAGAAAATGTAACCTTTTAGGGATTGAAGTTTAGACTGCAAAAAATACAAAATATTGAAACCAGAAATGGCAGTAATATATATATTAAAAGGAACAGTTTAGAAATGCATTTAAGAAGCTCTGCTAAAACTTCATAAAATGGATTACTGCTGACTGAACTTTTGTATTAGTATTTGTTGTTTCAAAACATAAAATTGTCTTTTAAATATTTTTTTAAATATTCTGTGGCACCCTTTATCTAGTTTCTATATTTTTCTGTGCAGGTTATTTTCCTAGCGGTGCCAAATTGGCTAAGAGTCTTTGGTCAAGGCGAAATGGGGGGCGGTGGTCGAAGGAGAAGGGGTTTTGGGGGGTGAAGAGGGGCAGCGCGTGACGCTGAGTAGCATTGACCGGGCTATAATTAATCAGTTTTTATGGCCCAACTAATTAGCAAAGAACCGAGTTCAAAACGGTAAAGAGTTCGTGCCAAATGAGCGTCTCCTTAAGCTAATGAACCTACAGTCGCTCCACCAGCTCTTCGGCGATTCTGGCTTGCTGTCCGGCTTCAACTTGAAGCTCCTCTTGGCCAAACGCTTCCGTCTCTGCGGCAAGGCATCCTCTGATGTCGAGAACATGGCGGCTCCTCCTCCTCCTCCTCCTCCACTTGGTTTTCCTTATTTTCCTTATTTTCTATTATTGATTTATTCGGTTTAGTTGGCTTTTAGTTGGTTAGAGAAGCACAGCATTGCAGCATTGCACTTGGCAGCGTTTTTGGGCCAAGGCAGCAGACATTGCACTTGGTTTTGCGTCTGGCATTCGCAAAGCGTATCAAAAATTGGTTAGATTTTCTTATTTAATTGCTTCGTGTTTTGTTTGCTCTTATCTTAGCCGGTGCTAATTAAGGCGCTGGGTTATAAACAATATTAAATTATTCGATTGCCAGATCAAAGCGACAGCTCATCACATGTTATCTGCCTCACAGTGACGGCCAAAAATCTTATCTCACTCTCAACTCACTTCGTAGAGGTTCATAATTCAGTTTTCGTAGAATCATTGGCATTATAAACAATATATTCGAATTTTGATTTATGCTTATTTTTGTGCTGATTTCTTCTGGATAATTTATGAGATTTATTATTGTTAACGTATTTATTATTATAACTTTTTAATGATTTTTATTGGTTGATCTGTACGTTTTTTTCAGTAATTTGTTATCTCTTTTTTTTTAAATTTTCCAAATAATTTTCTTTGTCGAACCGATTCTCGTTTTGGCTGCTCTCGAATCTTTTGTCACATTTAATCATGTATTTCGCATTAAATTTAGTTGCTATTAATTCGTTATACTACAATTACACGTCTCGTTTTGATTAGTTAATTTCGTTTAAGGCATTTCGTATAACTATTGTAAGTGTTTTATTTTTCGCAGCTACACAGAAGCATTTTTATGCTTTTCGTTCGAAAGTCGCCGACAAACTGCTCTCAGCTTTTTTCGTTCATTCGACCATCATCAACAGCGGAAAAACAGCGTGAAGAGCGACAAAAAACCATTTAGCAGTAGAGATTTTTGTGTTATTATTTAACACAACTCTTGTGCGAAAGGCGAGCGGAAAAAAAATAAATGTTATGTCTATAGTACTAGCAACGAAATAAAATAGAAGCCAATTTGCTGAGAGCCACAGAGCGAAGTGATAACGCTCGGCAAATACAAATTAAGTAACCAAAATAAAAGCAAACTAGAGCTACAGAAGTAGGCAACATTTTGCTGTGTTTGTGCTGATAAGCTGAATGCACAATTATTAACAAAAGCTGATAGTGATAATTTCAGTGAAAAAGAGAGGATCGAAACAAGAGAGAGAGCCATTTGGGATTGTTTATATTTTATATTCGTTGGGCCGTTTGATAGGCAAATAGTATTGATTTTTGATTGCCTATTTGCACACCGATTCGCACCCAATGTTTGCATGTGTTTTCTGAGTCAGGGCCAAGAAACAAAAGAGGCTAAGTTTGAATAAATCATCATCAGGTTTGAACCAGGTTCGCCCCTTGAAATATCTAATATCTAATATCTTATCTTTTTGCAATTAATTATTAAAAGAAAAAATAGTTTGATTGATATTTAAAATGCAAACAAATTGAAATCTATAAATAACTTTTAGTTGATTTATGATTTATTTGTTGATTTGTGGATAGGTTAAACCCGCAGTTAGTAGTTTTAAGATAAAAACACAGAAAAGCAATTCCAACTTGTTCATAAATTACAATTTTATATATTAATTTTTTTGTGCAGATAGCTCAAGGTTTTTGCTTTCAGCTTTTACACGCTTCTTGGCATTCATCTATTGTTAGAAATGTCTTTTGGGCTCGACAAGATCTTTTTGGCAGCAGCCAGTCTTTCGACCATGTTCAAATCAATTTGAAAGCCATTTATTAATGGCCAGTACCTTTGGCAATTACCAAGGCACTGCAACCATTTTCTACACATTAATCAATGACAACTCCTTGTGCCATGTTTTTTGGCCAAAAAAAAAAGAATAACGAATCGCGACAATTTGATTTGTTTATTTGCATTGATTTTATTTTTTTGCACACTTTGTGGCAAATTTATGGCATCAACAAATACGTGAAAAACGAGCTGGAGCAAAATTTGCATGCAAATTGAGCGCCAAATGCGCATTTCAAATTGATTTGAGATACGAACGCCTCGAAAATTGCCTTGAAGTTGCCCCATGCCGCAAGTTGCAAGCACCCAATTGAGACTCAAATGCCAAAGATGCAAAGCAACCGTATCTGTTTTTATCTGCTTTTCTGCATTTGCATCAGACTTTGTATATATATATATATAGTATGTATGTTTATATCTTTGGAGTTGGCCAGCGGTGAACTACATTTTGATTTGTTTGCTTTTCTATTTTGTTTAAAACTTTATGGATGTTGAAATATCCTTTGATCTAAGAGCACAGCTGCAGAGATGACAACTTCATGGTTACCATGGGATTGATAAGAAGAAAATGTTGACAAAATTTGCCGTAACTTCGATTAATATATAACAAGTTGGTACGCAACTTTTCAAATTCATTTTTAATGTTGACCTCAAACTTGTAGTTTAGTTTTTTTTTTATTTTATTACTTTGGCTTTTACTTTTCATTCCACTGTGAGGTGGTTTTCCTATTCCCTTCTAAGAGTCTCACAGTATTTTTCACACTTTCGTGCGTAAAAATGTCACATGTGCCGCAGCAGCGCTAATTGCTAAGAAAATAAAGAAAGCAAAAGTATCTGCCAAAGGCGTGTCTCACTCGCCTCTATGAATCATCTTAGAGGAGCAGAACAAAAAATATAAGATTTAGATCTAGAGCCTCAAGAAATTGTAGAAATTCGCTTTGATTTGAAAATGATTTATACACTAAATTTAGGAAAAAAGTAAAGATATAAATATCTATCCGAAGTTGTAAACAAAACATGTCTAAACTTTGCAACAAATATGCAGAGTTAAAGTATTTTTAAATATTTTCTAATAGCAGCTTCTAAATTACAATTTTTGATTTTCTTTTCAACATGATATATTCATATATCCTCGCTATATTACCATAAATTTTCCCTCAGTGCAAATTCAATACATTATATTAATAAATTGAGTTCTTTTTGGCATTCTATTTTGGGAGATCCCCGAGACGACCACTCACCTGGCACATCAAAGTAGCGATCCCACGTGCTGTTGCCCAGTCGATGACTTCTGTGCTCCTTCGACGACCCATGACCATTGGTGAGGCTCAGACTGAGCTTGTTGTTGTTGCGATCCATGGAGAGGGATCCCGAGTAGGGAACCTTGCGCCTCTTCACCGAGGTCCTTTCCAGCGTCCTCTCGAAATCGCTGCACACCTCGTCCAGAGCTTCGTGGAGAAAGGCTCTCGTCTCCGGCGGACTGATCGCCGGCTTGTGCCGCTGATGGTAGAGGGAGGATCCCCCCACCCCGACATCGCTTTCCACGCCTCCGCGAAGGGAGGAGCAGGTGGAGGAGGCGGTGCCGAAGGGCGACTCCGAACGAGGCGGTATGCTGCCGTAGGTGAAACGGGGCACCGATGAGGATCGCGGTCGGTAGCACGGAGTGGTGCTGTACAACGGCGACGCATTCACCGCCCCTTCAATGGGGCGTGGCGAATCCGGTTCGCTTTCATGTGAGGCCTGCACGGGAAATTGAAAAGGTGACAAGTTAATTGCACATGCAGTTCCGCCAGATTGGAGATCAAAAGATGAGGACCACCCGGAAGAAATGCGGGATGTTGGACAATCCACACAGCACATCATCTTCAATTTTTGATTGCTTTTACTTTTGATTTAGTTTTTTACCCCCCTTTTTTTTAAATACTTTCTGTGTTTGTATAAAAGAGATACAGCAAAGTCTATGAATTATAAATCTATGAGATATATGTTCTCAACTTTTTTGCTTGAAATTGTTTATTGTTTTTAAAACTGGAAAATGTTTAATAAAATGTAAAATTCTTCCCTTAGAAGATAAATATACTTTTCTTTGATATAAACTTTTCGCAATAAAGGATTTAAATTAAATCTATATAAAATAACTATTGTGTTTTCAACTTTATGTTTACTTACTATTTTAAAAGAGTTTTCGGATCATGATTTTCTTTTTTTATCAAGTAAATATCTAATTTTTTATTATCTTTAGATACCAAACTTACCTCACTTAGCTTTCCCTGGACCCTCGACTCCGCCTGCCAATCGCCGCCGAAGAGGCTCTCGAACCCCAGCATGAACTCCATGGACTTGCGGGATCTCCGGCGATCCCTTCGCCGCTGCTCCTCCTCGCTGGGCTTCTCGTGGGCCAGCGCCTCGCAGTAGCGCACGAAGTCCAGATCGATGTGGTATCCATAGGGGCAGCAGTTGCAGCTGCGCACCGAGCGACTCATGCCACCAGGAGATGGATTCGCGGATGAGGAGGATGAAGAGGGACGAGCTGCAGGGGAAACGGAAAGAGGAGATGAGAAAAGAATTATTATCTTGTGGATACCAAAGCCAGACGCGATGTATCTTAATGTCACTACCAAGGTCACGTCAACGGGCGATTCTTGGTATTGAACCGCAGTCGAACCACAAAATAAAAAAGGTTTTATTTTTGTGCGTCTGTGCAACGCAGACGAGACTGAGGGTGCCACACCTGCCCCTTCATCAAACACGTTTCGGATTTGGTAATCCGAGCAGCAGCAGCAGGTACAAAGGCGCAGTTCTCGGAATGACCGACCGTCTGTATCCGCCAGATAAATTCGTGCCTTATTTATGCTTAATTGCGCCTTATAATAACTAATTTCAGTTAATTTAGATAAACCACTTCTGACCGTCTCTGAATCACTTTTAACAAAGCAATTTGAGTTATTTACGTTGGCTTTGGCGTAAACGATTTTGTAATCAAGGCAAATAATAATTAAATAATGATCCAAGTAATGGAAGCTATGCAATGTTACTTTTTCAGAGGAGAAAAAGCTGCAAACAAACACCTCCGGAGTTTTTGTTTGATATTATTATTTTATTTATTTATTCTTTCTGCTTTGCACACTCACTTTCTTGCGGCTTTTTAGCCTCATGCCAGAGCCACAAAACCCCCAGCCAAAATAGATTCCACAGCATTTTATGGCGACTCGAGTTTGCACTTAAAACATTTGAAATTCCTGCAGCACGACGGCTGACCTCCGATTTTTCGATAGTATTTATAAAGTTAAAGTGCAAGGAAAAATAGGGAAAAGCAAGCGTTCTACTCTTCGGGGAAGCCTTCAACAAACTGACCGGCAAGAGTATCAAATTCTCACTTTATTCATCATGCAGCAAATTAAACCCGATAAGATATGGGAGCATTTAGCCACGCTATCGAGTCACCAAGTACAATATAAAGCTCTTTTTTCCGTCGCCATCTGTTGGCGAACTGCAAAACGAATCGGATTGAAAAGCGTAAGATACTTTTCACTTTTCATTCATTTCGTTTCATTCATGAAAAGAAAATCAAGAGCGTGGGTTGAAAAACAAAGTGGGCGTATCTGGATTGTGAAAGTGCTCAACGCGGCGTATACGTGTTGAACCGATTCAAGAGGCCGCATATTGATGAGCTCGAAATCGAGTGGCCGTAATTAGCAGGCGGCTTCAGGGCCACGGCCAAATCGGTGCGCCGGCTTAATAATCACCTATCGCATCGCACACACCCACCCACAATCCAACACTCTTAATCATATAATCACACAGACTATTCAAATTTGGACCGGCTTCTATTTTTTTCGGTTTTAGTAGGCGGATAAGGAATGTGGCTCCATAAATGTTCCCTAATTGACGGGTATTTAATACTGTCTGAATGCTAAATTGGCAAGACATTTTGCCTGCAACATTGTAACTATGATTAGAAAATGTTGTTAACATGAGTATGTTGGTATAATAATTTACTGATATCCAAATAAATGTTTATTGAAATGCAACTTGGTAAAGTACCTACATATACCTAAAAAACCATCTTAAAATCACTGGAAACTTTTCGTTTATTTGCTTCACTTAAAGGCTGACATTTTGCAAAAAAAAAACCAATCTGTACGCGGCGAGTTTACAACTTCATTTGGCCGACAATCTGCCAGCCAAATAAGGGCGCCTACAAACACAGTCACATAAATCGTATTGTCGCACCCGACTCACATAAAAATTAAGAAATTAACCCGGCTTGATGGCAACAGTTGAATTACGATCATGCTCCACGGGCCCATGTCCCAATCATCATTATCACGATCGCTTGATCGGTGGGCTCCATGTTGATCAGGCCTCTTGTAATGACTACATTTTCGGAGTGGGCGTATTGGTGAATGATGCAGATGCTGTCCAGCATACAAAATGAACTCGAATTGTGAATGAAATGGGAAGGAAGGCAACATATCAAGGGGAATACAGAAGCTTTTATACCCTTTATTCGCTATTAACCCTTCAAGCTTTACTAAATATATGTTTCTCAGATTTTATAAGATTTATTTAAAAACCTTAAACACATTGTACCATTGACTTAGGGTATTTGTATAGCAAATCCAAACTGGTTGTCCAACTGACATGTGCACAATTTGCTCATATGTTCATATGTTGGCTAAATTCGAGGTAGGCGGCTGTTGCTGTTGCAGAGTTGCAGTTGCAGTTGCATTTTGCAGCTGCTGCGCCTAATGAAGCTAACGGTGCAAGAGCTGCTGCGGCCACAGCAACAAATTACCGTAAAGCGCAAAAATTTAATTATGCAAAACACGTGCAACGCTGTTCGATCTAATTGCATGCCCCAACTCACTTGACAGGCCACCAAAAAAATAAAAAATAAACATGCGACAGCCAAATATAAAGCGGGTAACTAATGGGCATATTAGCTGCAATCAAGAGACTCTTGATTACTCTTTTCGAGATAACTATAATTTTCAATTAACCAAATTAGCAGAACTATCTTAATGGATTTATTTTTCCTGCTGAAATAAAATACGAAAGTAATGGGTGTGCCAAGCATAAAAACAAATGCACAGAATAGTATTCAATAAAAATGCAATTAGTTCTGAGGAAGTGTTTATGATTCACATTTCACATTTTCAAGCGCATTAAGTTCGCATTTTTAATTATTTTAAAATTATTTTTAAATATTTTTACCTCGCGTAAGAATTGCTTTATTTGCTGTTAACGAACTGTAGGTTTTTCTTTCCACACCTTGCGCTTTTCTTTTAATTTTTCCAAGTGCTCCCCAGACGAGATTCGCCCTATTTATGACTGCATTTTAATTACCCAATTAAAGTTGTCCCTTTCGGTCGGCCACTTGTGGTTGCTGCACAGGTTTATGGCTTTTAGTTTTTAATGATTTTTCAACGTGTCATAAACTTTTGTCGGTTTTATGTTTATTTTTTTCAAAATTATGGTAAGCACTTCGTGTGTGGCTAATGAGTTGAAAACGCCGACCAGCTGACATTTACGCACACGTCGCCCAATTTAATTGCTTCAATTAAGGCTGAAGTCGCATATCAAAAACCTGCCACGCCCACCGCCAACTAAACTGTCAACTCACATCCGCTTGTCATAAATTGGCAGCAGCAAAAAGACCGAATTATTTGATATCGAGGAAAATATTTGCGTTCGAGCCGCCAAACCAGTTTCGTCTTACTTTGGCTTAATTAAAAGCTGCAATTTTTGGCTGGAAGGGGAGTATTGAAGTGTGGGTCTTGCCAAAATTGATTTCCATAAAGGAGTCGAAGTACGAAATATATTTCGCTCGATTCGGGTGGGTCGAAAAAAAAAAAAAAAAGTGCGTGGCGGTGGCGCTGTGACAAATTTGCCTTTTCGGCCAAGTTAAGTGTATTGTTAACACCGCTCAACACATTTGTGGGTGTTGGCCCGGCTTTGCGGATCTGTTCGTGGGCGTTAGGTTGACCCACATCCGATCTTGTGGCCAAAAGCCGCGGCTGCGGCTGCTGCTGCAGCAGAATGTCAGCCATGTGGGACTGAGACACGTTTTTACTATTACTTTTATGGCCGAGAGGCCCACGCGGTGATTTTTTTTTTTGCTTTTAAGACTTACCATTTTCCTCAATGAAGGCGCGTTGACTTCGCAAAACCAACGACCTGGAAACGAATCGGACCAAAGAAATTCTTGTTAGTTGGGAAATTGGCAAATAAAGTAAACAATATAATGAAAGATTGCAGGGCCTGCGAAAACAATAACAAGGAAAGTCGCTTGCGAAACGCTAAGAAAACGCCAACACTATTTGTCGTTGCTATCGGATTTAAAAATAAATCAATGCAACGAGATCACTGAGAGAAAAGTGGGGGTAATAGAAGTAGAGATAAGAAATTTGTTGAATAAAAATTACAATAATAAATATATGAATTCTACATTTGCACACTTTTTATCTTAATTAAAGTATCTTTAATAAATCTTAAATGAGATTTGATTTATTGTATTTATATTTTTTTCCTTGAATGTATCTCTTTACTTTTTCCTGTGCACTCGACACGGAATGCGACAAATGCGTAGATACAACGATACACAAACAGAGCAACAGATAAAGATAGAAATCACACTTGCCGTAGGGAAGAAATTATAATAAAATATATCAAGCTGTCAGCGTTTTGAGTTCCCGATGTCGCCCCCTTTGTTCGGTATTTGGAAAGATAACTTTTTGAAATATATTTGTGCGTGTGCCACAAAATCCAGCGTAAACTGTTTGCCCCGCCATGCGGCAGAATGGTATTCGTCCCCACGAAAACTCATTAGTGAACTTTGCCGCCCTGATCCCTACTCGAGTTTTCCCTGGTTTTCCCTGGATTTCCTGGAAAAACGTAACATGCGTGCCGCATTTTTCATTTTTCCACTTTGCTGGAAACGGAAACTGCAATTATTTATAATTTGTTTTGGTTCCAAGTGGGGATTTGAGTGCTCCCCCGCCATTTCAAGTAATCCTAATGCAATTAGCCAAAAAAAATATATATATAATATATATGTTAGCCAGCTTCACTTTGGGTTCTCATGCATTATCAAATTAATTGCCTGTCATGTTTTTAGCCAAACAACAACGTTGCCGATTTAATGATATTATAAATAAAGTATATATTTGTAAAGGAGTCAAACGGAAAGCCGTCTGGCAATTTGCTGCCATATTTCTCGAGTCATTTTTCACGTTTTCCATCTTTTGCCCGATTTGAAAATGTATGTAAAATGAAAATTTATGCGTCAACTGATTTATGCGGTTTCGCCGTATGCATGTTGCATGAATGGAAAAGGCCTGACATGGACCCACTACCTCCCTCCTCATCCTAAATAATAAAAAAAACAAGTTGCATTGATGTGGAACGGTTGCGGCATCGCGTATTTTTGGATCGCCGACCAAATTAATATGCGTGTTTATGATTATGATACACGAAACTCGTTGTTTTTATGTTCTGCCTTCTAGGATTGTCTAGCCACAATTTGTTGCGGCTTTTTCCTTGTTCTCATAATTAGAAATTATTATAATTGGATTCGGTTTGGTTAAAGAAAGAAGATTCATGCGTGCTGAAACAGATTTAAATTGCAACATAGTAGCTGTCAATCTGTATCTTAAATTTTACTTAATTAAAGTATGTTTTTGCAGACGGAAAACCTTCAAAAAACTCAATCAAAACTTGTCTGAAAACACCTTTATTTATTGACATTAGCTCATTGCCACTTAAAACTCGCACTTAAGTTCACACCTTCAACACCTCCATTATAAAAACACACAAATAAAAATCAACATCCGATGAACATTTTTAGTTTTTGCCACATTAAAATACACCCGCACATTCGGTGCGACTTCCTTCCATTTCGGATTACTGCGATACCGATATCGATCTGGGGGATCCATTAGTGCTATCTTTACCTCCAGAACCGCTTGACGGCTTCCTGTTCGGTGGGCGTCAGGTGGGTTATCTTCTCGGCAAACTTTGACTCATCGTAGCCACCGATTACGGAATCGTGGAGAATCATATCGCCGGCGTTTTTTTTTTTTTTTGGGCCAATGCAAACGCGATTTCCTAATGGCCTTTACTCGACGGCTTTCTGCGATGGCATTTAATTAGCATTTGGCTCTTTGGCTTTGTGTATTTATATATTTTTAGCCAATGAAAGTTCTATGCCGAAATTAATTAACTCCGAAGGCGAGAGGCGAAAACTTTTGCCCCGGCAACCGCGGCATTTGGAGTGCAACTTTTCATCGCCGCTGCACTTTAGTTCACTTTTTCTGATTTTTTGGCTGACTCAGTGAGCTTGTAATTTTTCTAGATTTAGTTTCACTTTTTTGTGGCGCTTTTTGTCGTGTGATTTATTTTATTTGTAGTTTGTAGTTTTTCTGTGCGAGTTAAACGCTCCGCGCTCGAAAATCGCTCGAATCGAACTGAATGCGCCGGGAGAAAAACTTCACGAGTTCGCCGCCTGAACTTTATGCTCTGTAAATGTGAGTATCTGTGTGTGTGTCTGTTTGTGTGTGTGTATTTGTCTTGTTTGGCTTTTGTGTGCGTCTCTGCGTTTCAGTATATCCCAGCGGGAAAAGAGATGTGGAAGATATGCTATTTTCCAGAGATTTCTTCATACAAGCGGAAGGGCAAAAACCTCCTTCACCCCTTACATTTTTGCCGTCTCTCCTTTCAAAATACACGGGGGTGACACACAAAAGGAAGGGGTACAGGAGGTTTCTATGTAAAAATCCACACGTTTCAGAAACCCACCCTTATTTAGCGGACCGAAATTTTCAACTCCTACCCCTACGCCTGCTAAAAGAAGCAGGATTTCCAGTAGACTTAAAACCGAAAACCTACTTCTAAAAACGTACTTCTCACTTTCCCGCTGGGATCTTTTGTATTTGTTTTGGTTGTCGACTTTGTTTTTGTTTGCCGTCGATCGTTAAAGAACTCTGACTGCCGCCGCCAAACCAATCCGAGAACCACCCAAATAAAAACTAAAATCCGAACACAATGCCAAGTGTACGTTTGTTGTTAGAGGTTTGTTTTTGTTGTTTTTTTTTGCCTTTGGCCCGGAGCTTGGCTTGGCTCAAACGAGAGAGCTATCGATACGATAATTAATAAATGTATGTAAGTGACTGCTTAGCAGCACGAAAACCAGTTCGTAACGAGTCGCTCGAACACCCAAGTCCAATCTCAAACCCAAACAACCCGATGCCGATGCCGATTCCACGTCCAATTCCAATTCCAATTCCGAATCCGAATCTGTGTGGACGCCCGATAAGCGAACTTACACCTGTACTGAGAAAAATGTATGTTATGTCATGATTCATTTGCTGATCCCTCTGCTTAATTTGTTTTTTAACAACTCAGTTGAATCATTTGCGAAAACTTTGTACAAACTATAAACAAGACACTTTATGAACCACGTTTTGTCATAAAAAACATAATATAAAGCATCTCTTAATTAAATTAAATGCAGACTGAATTTAAGTTTAGTTTGTTTTGTACTTTAGATTTGACTGTAAGTTGTTTCTCTGCATTTGTATCTCTATGTGTATCTTTGTATCTGAGAGCTCTCTGTAAGTTCTGGCAGCGGAAACAGTTGCCATGATTGATGAAGTTAGAAAGGTGTCTGATCTTTACCGAAGGCATCGTTAACTTAATTTTCACAGTAGCTGGAGATCGGAAAATATAGCTGCTACACCCCAGAATAAGATATCTCGGAGACGCGACAGGTCATTAAGCAGAAAGATATTCTGGTTAACTAATTCAAATTGACAACGGAATGCAGCCTTTTAAAATATTGTAACACAGGCTTTTTTGTTACCAAGCAATTCATTAAAGCCCGTCATTTTTCATACTTCCTAGATCGTAATTCATAAAACCCGGCTCAGAATGGCCTGCCAAAAAACCAGTAGTTGTTCACACAGCGGGCTACAAAAAAGTCTGGGAATTGTAAAATATGCTTTATGGCCGATAGACAAATTCTTTTGTGGGAAGAGAGAGAAGAGCCTCCGGCAACTGGAAATCGATTGGGTGTGACGCATAAATAATTGCAGCAATTTATTACCCCATTAAAGCAATGAGAGAATCCACTAACGCATAATTAAAAGCCGTGAAATCCACTGGCCAAAACACTAAACGTGTTTATGAATAGCAAAAAAAAAAAAAGAAGAAAAATAACAGTTCGACAGAAACGGAAACCGGCTCACTTAACGTTTTAGCTTTAAAAAAAAAAAATCACAAAAAAAACGAGCGAAGCCGCGACACTTTTGTCGAATTTCTCGGCCAGCTCATAGGGCATGAAATTTCGTTGGCTTATACAATATTCATATTTCCGTAGAAAAACGCCAGGCTAATTAACATAAATTACAAAATCAATGCCCGAGGGAAATACTAATTATGAAATAAAACGATCATTTCATGGACTCGCGCTTCGTTTTCAACTCTGAGTTCAATAGACGATCTTCGCTGATAGGCGGCTTTGACATCGATGCCTTACCCTATAAGGCGGCAATTGTGTAAATAAAGAACAATTGATAGCTAGTTGTTGTCCGCCGAGCAAACATTTAATTACGTTTACAAACATTTTGATTAGAGAATGAGCGGTGCATTTGAGATCATCATCGCTTAATAGATAGATCATCAACAAGTGATTACGATGGTTATAGTTGATTAGAAAAAAACTATAGAGTAATGAAATATATTATAGATAAGCAAAGCCACACATCATCTTAAGTTAATGATTCTTAATAGTATTTCAATAATATTTTTTACTCGGCAAATGGAAAAACCTGTTTGTTTTGATAACAGTTTCAATTAAAATAAATAAATACAAAATTAATTTGAACAAAATAGTTTCGTGCTCAAATCGAATTCAAATTAAATGCAAATCAAATACAATATAAATTCGAATCAATTTTACATTCCATGATTTATGATTCGGAATGCAATAAAGTTGTTTTTTTTTTCGTTTGCTACTCTTAAATCAATACAGTTTGAATAGACTAGATTTAATTTGCTTATATATTGTATTTTAAAGTAATCACTAATTTCTCTTAGTTGTGAAACTTCTTGTGCGTCTTCTTTTAAATAATGGCTTTTAAATGTAGAACATTTTCAGAACTTTTCAGATAGATGTTGCT